TCAAGTGAGAGAACTTTTTTCTATTTGACACCTGATGATGATTACTTGAGAAAATAAGAATACGGTGGTGTCTTGTATACATGGTTATTAGGTTCCGTAGTCCTTATCAAAATAAAAAAAAAAGTGAAATCAAAAGAATTTAAAAAAAAAAGAGTATTTGGGAAAGTATTGAAATGTAATATTTCTCCTAATATACAATACTTGTCATGGATCTATAAAAAAAGTTCTCAATAATCTGATGATACTACCCTGATACTATACTCTGTAAGACATAAATAATATCACATGCAAGTACATGACTTGTCAGCAGTAGATTTCATCACCTTTATTCTACAAATACTGGACGGAATAAAAGTTTTATCATGTATATTAGATTAATATTTACATGATACAATTATACTTATGGTGAGGGTATACTTAAATAGTTTAAAATCATTTGCAAAGCCTAAATTCACTAAAATATGTAAAATTCAGCCAAAAATCGCTAGAATAATTATGTTGAATTCAGCCAAAAGTCACTCGAGTATGTCCACTTCAGCTAAAAAATCACTAGACTATGTCAAATTTATCAAAAATCACTAGAATACATCCATTTCAGCCAAATATCACTTGAATATGTATAATTTAGCCAAAAAACACTAGAATATTTAAAATTTATCCAAAAAATCACTAGAATATGTTAAATTCAGCCAAAATTCACTAGAATACATCAAATTTAGCCAAAAGTTATCTAAATATGTCAACTGAGACTAAACATTGCAAATAATAATTTTGACAGTAAATAACTATAGTTCTTATTAGCCATAATTTGTTGGTTTGTATTAAAAAGCAGAATATATATTTATGATAATGATAAAATCCCCTACCAATGAAATAAAATTTTATTTTTCATGCATGCTATTTAAGTCCATTTTTTCTTTAATTTTGTGACAGGCAGCCATCAAAATAGAACTGGCATTTTTGTACAAATATAAATGCATTTTATGAATAGAGATTTTTATTTCCATAAAACAATACTGAACAACAGGCAACACTGATATGTACTGACAAAATGAATTTAACAAAGCTGTGCAATAAATTTTTACCTCCCTGTTAATCATTATCCATAACTTCCAATTTGAAAAAAAAAACTTTAAAAATTTTAAATGCATCCCAGTAATACACAGTATAAAAACTTATAGTACATAACTTTAATATGAAAGAAACCATACTGTTGAAATAAAATGTATAAGTATATCCTACATTGAGCACAATCCCAGCAAAAACTGATGGTATGACAGTATGCTTGACTTTACTCAGTGTTCAATAGTAAAAAATGAGCATGGATAATTTAGAATTGTCCAGTTTGAAATGGGCCATAATTCTGTCTGAATCAATGTTAGAGTTATGGACCTTGGATAGTCACCTCCTTTTATTCTCTCAAATAAGTGTGTGAAGTTTCCACCCATTCCCTTCAGTAGTTTTGGAGATACCAACTTGCATGTTTTAACTTCACCATAATGTGACACTGACCTTTACACCTGGGTCAGAGTACAATAGCTCTCCCTATTCTTTGAAACAATAATATTAGCTTTTGGTGTATACAATTTTGGCGATATAGACAAATACACAACACGCCATCAATATTTTATACAATCCGTGCATATCTTTTTTATGTTATAATAATTAACCTACAGTGTAGAAGCCCAAAACGTTAACCACAAATGCCAACATCACCAACGTACAATAATACTAAAAATTTAAATACCCTCAACTTTTCTTTGAATTAAATTTTCATTTTAAACCTAGCACTGTTGTGTGTATGCAAAAAATTCTTTTGCAGCTGTGTCCTAACACAGAAAAAACAATACCCTAAATACATATTAGAAAAATATTACAAAACTATGTTACTGACCAGGTTGGATGATTTAAATGATGAACAATATTTAAATGTTTTGACTAGCAAACTATTGAACTAAATTCTTAATGTTATCTGAAGTGAATAAACATTAAATATAACGGTATATAAATATATTACCAAAAGCATCAACAAATTTGTTTAAAATACAAACAACAAGAATATATCACCTTTTCAAGGCACCTTAAGTTAAAACCCAAGAAATATCTGACAAAAACCTCGTTATTTTTCAATACTTGTACTGTATTAAGCTGACATACAAAAATATGACTAAAAGACAAAATGTAATTTGTCTGGCTGCTAAAAATAATTCATGTCTGATATTTCAACCAATGGCAAGACTTCATTTTGGAAGTAATCTCTAAACTTTACTAAACATTCATCAAAACAAATTTTTGGATCTAATTTGTTATCAATAGAAACATTAAAAAAATTTCTTTGGTAAAAACTTAAGGAAGCCTTCACTTAGCAACTGCCTTTACTGTTCCTTCAATTTTTGGAGTAACTGTCAAAATATAAATAGACATGGAATGTTATTTATAGTATAAATTGTCCCTAAAAAGGGATATTAAAGCAAAATGCCTCCAGATTCATTATATTTCATGTGTTGAAATATTATCACTATTGTCATGATGTTCCATCAGCTTTCTCACATGAAATAATCTTAAGTCCCTGACGAGATTCAAACCCAGTGATCAGGAGCAACTGATATGAAGATGGCAACTCTAACCACTCGGCCATGGATGATTGATTTATTATCATTACGACAACTTCAAGTTTAAAATGCTATAAGGCACGAAACAATGATTGATAGCAGAACATAAAAGTTTCAATGATAATACCAAGAATTAATAAAAAAACTATATGTATTAAAAAATGTTAACTTAAAACATGTAAAAACTATATATGTTTTTTTACACTATAAAAATGTTAGAATCAGCAGTTTCATGTAAATTTTCACATTTTGGTGTAAAACTAATAATACTATGTAAAATTAGATATGAATTTTTAAAAAGACACGTAAATAAACAATACTGTACATTATAATTATACAAATGTCTTATACAAGCAAAATTTATACAAAAGTAATTATAGAAAGTCTGAAATAAGGCATATTGGGGTAAATAAGAAGAAGACTTGCTATTTTGAACATAAAATGAAAAGACTGAGATTAAAAGAAACATGTGTAATGACAAAAAAACCCATGTGGAATAATGAATAAACATGTGGAATGACATTATAACAAAGTAGGTGGAATGACAAAATAACATGTTTAAGAACCAAAATAACATAGCATATGAAAAGACAAAATGCTATAACATGTTAAACAAGAGCTGTCCGTAAGACAGCGCGCTCGACTTTTTTATTGCTTGCCAATAAAAAAAGTTTTTGCAGTAAAAGGCAATACAAGAATCTCTGTATTTTTAAAGTGAACAATGGCCATGAGCATTAAGATATTTAGTGAAGAATTATTTTACTGAATTGTGTGATACCCTTGAACACTGCAGCAAAGTTTGAAATGTTTAAGTCAAAAGAGGGCTGGTAAGAAAGAAAAAAAAACTAGTTGTTTGATACCCTTGAATATTACAGCAATGTTTATATGACATAATTTATGGTAAAGTGAACAAGTGGATAGGAATGAATTTTTTTAGATTTTTTAAGTTTTTTAGTGCTTGCCTATAATACAAAACATTGACAGTTAAGGGCCATAATTCAAATAAAATCTTTGACAGAATTACCTTCTCCTGGACATGTTTGGGAATCATGATTGTAAACAAGTATTCCAACTTTCAAATTAATATCTCAAACAGTTCAGTCAAAAAGTGGACTGGTACTAAAAACTTAACCAAGATTCTAAGTCGATAAAAGGCCTTAATTTTTAAAACAAATCCTTGACAGAGTTACCTTCTCTTGCGTACAGATGGGGGTAATGATGTGAAATAGCATTAAAAGTTTCAAAGCAATATCTCAAAGGGTTAAGGCAATAAGTGGATTTTACCCATATTCAATGTATTTTCTAAGTCAAAAAGGGGCATAATTCTGTCAAAAACCTTGACAGAGTTATGTCCTCTTGTCTGTTGATGAAGGTCGTGATGGTAAACAAGTATGGTCAGTTTCAAAGCAATTACCTCCAATGGTTTTGAAATAAAGTGAGGTGGTACAAAAAACTTAACCAAGATTCTAAGTCGATAAAAGGCCTTAATTTTTAAAACAAATCCTTGACAGAGTTACCTTCTCTTGCGTACAGATGGGGGTAATGATGTGAAATAGCATTAAAAGTTTCAAAGCAATATCTCAAAGGGTTAAGGCAATAAGTGGATTTTACCCATATTCAATGTATTTTCTAAGTCAAAAAGGGGCATAATTCTGTCAAAAACCTTGACAGAGTTATGTCCTCTTGTCTGTTGATGAAGGTCGTGATGGTAAACAAGTATGGTCAGTTTCAAAGCAATACCTCCAATGGTTTTGAAATAAAGTGAGGTGGTACAAAAAACTTAACCAAGATTCTAAGTCGATAAAAGGCCTTAATTTTTAAAACAAATCCTTGACAGAGTTACCTTCTCTTGCGTACAGATGGGGGTAATGATGTGAAATAGCATTAAAAGTTTCAAAGCAATATCTCAAAGGGTTAAGGCAATAAGTGGATTTTACCCATATTCAATGTATTTTCTAAGTCAAAAAGGGGCATAATTCTGTCAAAAACCTTGACAGAGTTATGTCCTCTTGTCTGTTGATGAAGGTCGTGATGGTAAACAAGTATGGTCAGTTTCAAAGCAATACCTCCAATGGTTTTGAAATAAAGTGAGGTGGTACAAAAAACTTAACCAAGCTCAATACACTTTCTAAGTCAAAAAAGGGCCATAATTCTGTCAAAAACCTTGACAGAGTTATGTACTCTTGTCTGTAGATGGAGGTTATGATGGTGAACAAGTATGGTAAGTTTCAAAGCCATACTTGTAATACTTCTGAAATAAAGTGGGGTGGTACGAAAAACTTAACCAAGGTGTGACGCCGACGCCGACGCCGGGGCGAGTAGGATAGCTCCCCTTTTCATAGAAAAGTCGAGCTAAAAATCTAGAATGACAAAAAAATATAACATGTGTATGTAAAATAACATGTTATTCAATTAGTCAACATAACATGTGAACTGTGAAATAACATGTGGAATAATGAAACAATGTAATTAACATGTTGACTGCGAAATAACATAAAATGTGGAATAAAAACAAAGTGTGAAATGTGGAATGTAAAATAAGTTGAACCCCCTCCCTTACAGCCTTAAAAATAAGGTAAATGCAACAGTATTACAACTCTACAGAATTATTGGGCTAGATAAAACAGTGTGACAATATGACCTTCACACATATAACCCATACCTCGCTATATTTATAAAATGGACTTGGTCCTGCATTGAATTTGGACCTGTCCATTGTTAATATGAGGGAAATTTGATATAAAAAAGTAACAATTAAACAGCCATAAGTATAGAGCAGCCAGACTTTAGTTTAGTTCATACAAATTTATTTTAGTTCGATTATGTCAGAATCTATAAGCTTTTTAAAACACTCTCGAATCCGTTCCTTGAACTAACAAGTACTAAGCAATGAATGTAAAGTTTCTTGCTCAAGGAAACAATGGCTTGCCCCTGAGGGGGTTTGAACCCACGCAGCCATAAATCCTTAGATTACTGAGTCTGATGTGTTAACCACTCAGCAGCACAGCCAGGCTTTATACATGTGCCATAGATCTACAAATCATTATTACATAATATTATTATATTCAAAAGGACAACATTATACCTAAATTAAAAGCATACATTGAAAACAATTATTTTTCAACATGAACTTTATAAATGCAAGAAACATATATACTATAATTTGATTGGACAAATGACTATTAAGGCAAATGATTATCACTATAAAGCAATTCAACAACTATTTCAACATAAAATTAACACTAAAGAACTAAAATGGTCATTAAAGACTTTGAATAGTAAAGAACAATACCATTGTAAAAATGGACGGAATTTTAAAGTTTGTTAATGTATGCAATAAAAAATCATTAAAAATGTATAAAATTAAAAAATAATCAACATACTAACTTCAACAAACAACAAGCTTATTTGTTTATTCAACATCAAATAAACACAGTTTGTTTTCAACATGACAAAAACAACAACACACAAAACAATGCAAGAAATCTTAACATAAAATGGAATAAACCAGTTATTCTATTTCATAACAGTTCATCACACATATTCTTTCTTTTAAATAACTCCATTTTATATTTTTTCTTCAAAACATTTTTCTTTTAAATTTACAAATATAAACGTTACTGTAGAAAACTTTTATCAAAACAAAATTTGCTAATTGCACTTTAAGGGAATATATATTAATATTAAGTAAAAATATTGTTCTCCAAAATTTATAAGTTACTTTTTTTTTACAAGCTTCAAATCATAGAGACTAGACCGTTAAAATTCAAACTCACTTGACAGCAATAAATGTGAAAACACCGACAAAGTCCATAATAACAAACAGCAACTGACTAATTAAAGAAATGTTTATACGTTAACTTTGCCTTCCTTCACCTCCCTCAGGTTTATCGTTTTCGTAAACATGGCAGTTTTCTTCATCTTTTTCCAACGGCTCTGCGACATCTTCTCTTTCTGCTTACGCCTCTGCTCCTCACGTGCCACACGACGCTCTTCTTTCTCACGCTCCTGAAAACATAAGATAACATGAAAATAAAGACCAAAATTATTGAAATCATAAATTATGTTTTAGACTTATCTGGAGATTTTCCACCATTTACAAACAAAAAGTTACCTCAAGAAATTGTGCTCTGATTCTACACAAATTTTAACATATTTCTGTGAAATGAATGTTTTGTTTTAGGGAATTATAAATTGCAAGCTAAATAGTTTTATTTTTGAACTGCCAAAAGCCACAAAATAAACACATCTGCGGATGTTAAAAATCTTCACATTTCGAGGTGTAAGTTGTGAATGCTGCTTAAGCCAGTCTAGGGGGTGCAAACGAAATTTTGTATCTACCACCACTGTCAATGAACAGGCTAAATGAACCAGGTCTGAAACCTTTACTTTTTATTAATACATCATAGACGCAGGCAATCATTTAACTTTATTTGTACGATATTTTTGGTGCATAAACTTTGGTACTTACCGATTGGTACCACCTGATCGGGAAAGCTCGACGACCATCCAGGGCAGGTTGAGAGTACTGGATCTGATATTTTTGTCTTTCCTTTGTTGTAACACTTTGCTCCACAACCAAAACAATTTTCGCCCACTACAAATATATAGATTATAATATAATTCATTCTTTTGCAGTAAAACAAAACATAAATTTTCAAATTTACAAACAATGGAAATAAATATTTTCTATATTAATTTCAGATACGATGCTGGACAAGTACATATTGTGGTGGCAGATGTAACGTCCTGACATCTTTTTAACTCAGAGTATAAAGCAAATAAAAGCAATAAAATTAAAATAAAGAGAATGCAAAAAGAATACAATCTCTATTTTGGTATGAAATACCGGTAATAATACTAACATCAGAGTAATGCATTTTTTTTTTTCAAATAAAACAGGGGCATAACTGACAGAATGTCAGAAACATTTAAACTTTCTTACCTGTCGGAACCATTCTTTTTGTGTTTCAGCAACAAGTTGGTATGTATTTCCCATCATGGCAATCAACATGTTTACAAGCAGCAGAGTGACCATGATCATATATAACACAAAAATGATCTAAAAATAGAACAGCAAGCATTCAAATCACAAGATGCATGAGAAAATAAAATTATAATATAAAGGAAATGTAGTATACTTAGTTAATAAAGTATATAGTTTTAGTTTAAAAGTTTTAATTTATCATTAAGTTTATGAAAAGTATGAGAAGAACATTATGTACATGTAATTATATATATTATTTTCTATACAAATTCCTGACGGAATATACAGGAGAAAATAGCCTGATTTAGATAAATATGACCCTAGGCACTAGGCAAAATATATATTTATGTCAGCAAGGCTATATTTCTTCATCATATCATGTCAGCAACTCAAGTAACAAATTAATAACAATGCAATTTCTTAAAGATGACAAAGTTAATAAAAAAATTATATAAAAAAAGATTTTTTAAAATGTAAAATACACAATTGTGAAATTTCTGACTATTGACTCCGACACTCAGTTTATAGTGATATTTGAAGTGAGAAATATACCAAAATGAAACAATAACTTTTTTTGGCGCATACATAGTTAACAGACTACAATGCCGAAAACTTTATTATTCGTGAACGTTTCTGTTCATCAAAGTATATACAGCACAGTATACAAAGCATGCAAGCGAATCAAAAATTGAGAAAATTTACTTGCATAATTATAATTATTAAACACAATTATAAAAGACATATAATAAAGTTATCTTTTCAAAAATAAGAGACAAATATTTCCAAATATAGTATTATCAGAGATATTGAATTAAAATCAAAACGTCAGAAAAATTCAAAAGCTTTGGCAAAGTCTGTTTAGCAGTATTATATTGCAGTCATCATAAGTAAAAAACAAAATGAGCCGCATCACGACAAAACCAACAAAGTGGGTTTGTGACCAGCATGGATCCAGACCAGCCTGCGCATCCGCACAGTCTGAACAGGATCTATGCTGTTCGCTTACAGACCCTATAACAAGTAAAGAAACTGATAGCGAACAGCATGAAACCTGATCAGACTGCGCGGATGCGCAGGCTGGTCTGGATCCATGCTGGTCGCAAACCCATTATGTTGGTTTTGTCATGACGCGGCTCAAATGTGTAGACTCTCACACAAATAGTGAAATTTTCACATCTAAAAAATCACCACTCTCAAGCTTACAGGCATTAGTTTTGTTAGATCTATTGGCAACTGTCAAAAAAAAAGGCGGGAAATTGTTAATGACCTATGCTACGCTATTTATCGATTTTATATTAAATTTATTTCAATGCATATTATGTAATAATTCAGGAAATAAGAATGTTAAATTATTTTCTAAGTTATCTTGTTTAAGGCGGGAAATTATTTATTATAAATATTATAAATTATTTGTTCCTAGATCATTAAAATGTTAGATTATTAGATAAGCTTAACCACTATTTTATCTAACATCATCAATTATGTTTTTTGTTGGTTGTTTTGGGGTTTGTTTTTTTTTGGGGGGGGGGGCAGACTCTTCAATAAAAGCAAAATAACAATCTACGCTAAATATACTCTCAAACTATTGAATTTTTCAAAAAATTAAAAACCAATCAAGTCAGTGTAATGGCCCTTTGATCTCTGCAGATAAAACAAAGAAATAGTGTAAATTTTGTATCTCAAAAATTTTAATTGTCTGTTATCTGTAAACTGTTAACATACATTGTTATCTTAGTGCAGCAACTAGTTAACTCCTATTAAATTTCACTTGTAGTTAACCCATTACTGCACTAGGTCTACATACCATAACTGAAAAGGCCAAAACTGAATTTCCACCTGGATTTAGAGGCTCAAAACTGAATTTTCTTAAGGTGATAATATAACACAAACATAAGTAAACTTTTGTATAGTCTTTGTCTAAAACTTGTTATTTTTAGGGTAAAAATTGGGCTTCAAACGTAAGACACTTTGTCATCAACCATAACATTAAAGTCAAGTTCAGGTTGACCTCTTAATTACTGAACTAGGGTTGAAAGTTTAAAAACAAACTAGGTCAAGGTCATCTGAGATTTAAATTTAGATTTGCTGACTTCAATGAGATATATCAACATTATATACATGTATATTAACTTACCAGAATTTTTTACCATTTCACATCAGGAAATATAAAATTAAATAATATTAATGTTTAAATCATCCAGGTGGTAATATATTGCATTGTTGTTTTATAAGTGACAAAACTAAACGATAAAATATTACAATTAAAACTACATTCCAATTTTCTGAAATAATTTTATATAATTGTTACCAATTACAAAATCATGGTCTGACTGGGAAAAATAACAAATTACAGATTTTTACATAAGAAATATAAAATGTGTGTCGCTTAAAACTCAAATGCAATCATCTGAACTTTCAATTAACACCTTGATAACTCCAAAACTGATAAGAACAATTTCAAAACTGGAACTCTGAATATTTAAGAAATTCATTTTATTTTATGTAACTATTCCAGTATATATCAAAATCTATAGCTTGTGCAAGAAGCTCTTTTTTCATTTCTCATTTGTAATTTGATTTATGTATGCTTTTTTTATTTGTTACTGAACGAAAAATTCCTAACAATATCACAAAATATCTGAGTCGAAGCTTTATTACAAATAATTATTCATGCAAATCAAAACTTTTTTTATAATGAGATATGCCATGACCACAAAACTATACCAGCGCAAAAGCTACACAAAAAATTCTACATATCTGTTTTACATACACAACATAACTTTTTACAGCAGAAGACACATGCAGACGTAGTTTGCTGCAGACGACACTTACACTAAGCGTAATTTGATGGCGTGAGGTCGGGAATGTCTGAACTATGTCTTCAAAATCTCCTACTGACATAGAAAAAGTACCCAATAACGCGTCAATTGGGTTCGCGAACACACACGGGTCAGACTCGGGATCACATGTACTACCAACAAAACTTATAAAGAACGCTGTAAGAAAATAAAAAACCAAAATGAAATAAAATAAAATACGAAACAAACATAACTCAGCTGCAAACAAAACCTTTAAATAAACAACACAAACAAGAGGGCCATGATGGCCCTGAGGTCGCTCACCTGTATAAAGGCACCCGGAGCGGGGCCAGTTTAAACCCCAGGGCTTTTATTTGAACAAACTTGGAAGACACCATTAGAAGATATTTCACGATGTTAAGTTTTTACTACACACATATAATGAAAAACAACAATCTACCCCCTCCTTCCATACCCCCCCCCCCCCCTCTGGCAGGGCCAATTTTAACCCCAGGGCTTTTATTTGAACAAACTTGGTAGACACCCATAAGAAGATGTTTCATGGCTAAACATCTAAGCTCTAGCTCATTGGGTTTTTTTTAAAAGAAGATTTTTTAAGTTTTTTCTATACACATATAGTTTAAACCAATGACACCCCTGGGGCGGGGCCAATTTGACCCAAGGGCTTTTATTTGAACAAACTTTGTAGACAATTACTAGAAGATGTTTCATGCTTAATATCTAAACTCTAGCTATTTGGGTTTTTTCAAAGAAGATTTTTAAATTTTTGCTGTACAAATATAAGGAAAATCAATAACACCCGGGGCGGGGCCTATTTTGACTCCAGGGCTTTTATTTGAACAAACTTTGTAGACACTCACTAGAAGATGTTTCATGCTTAATATCTAAACTCCAGCTATTTGGGTTTTTTCAAAGAAGATTTTTTTTTTTTTGCTATACACATATAAGGAAAATCAAGGACCCCCGGGCCGGGCCAATTTTGACCCCAGGGCTTTTATTTGAACAAACTTTGTAGACACCAATTAGAAGATATTTCATGCTAAATATCTTAGCTCTAGCTCTTTGAGTTCTTTAAAAGAAGATTTTTTAAGTTTTTACTATATGCATATAGAGAAAATCAATGACCCCCTGGGGCGGGGCCAATTTTGACCCCAGGGCTTTCATTTGAACAAACTTGGTAGACACTCATTAAGAGAAATTGCATGCTAAATATCTTAGCCCTAGCTCTTTGGGTTCTTTAAAAGAAGATATTTTAAGTTTTTACTATATGCATATAGGGAAAATCAAAGACCCCCTGGGGCGGGGCCAATTTTGACCCAAGGGCTTTTATTTGAACAAACTTGGTAGACACTCACTAGAAGATGTTTCATGCTAAAGATCTTAGCTCAAGCTCTTTGAGTTCTTTAAAAGAAGATTTTTTAAGTTTTTACTATATGCATATAGGGAAAATCAATGACCCCCTGGGGCGGGGCCAATTTTGACCCCAGGGCTTTTATTTGAACAAACTTGGTAGACACTCATTAGAAGATGTTTCATGCTAAATATCTTAGCTCTAGCTCTTTGGGTTCTTTAAAAGAAGATATTTTAAGTTTTTACTATATGCATATAGGGAAAATCAAAGACCCCCTGGGGCGGGGCCAATTTTGACCCCAGGGCTTTTATTTGAACAAACTTGGTAGACACTCATTAGAAGATGTTTCATGCCAAATATCTAAGCTCTAGCTCTTAGGGTTTTTTAAAAGAAGATATTTAAAGTTTTTTCTTTCGGTTGCCATGGCAACCAGAGTTCTGCATGGAATTAAATTCTTTGAACAATTTTTAAAGGTGACCACCAAAGGAACATTCCTGTGAAGTTTGGATGAAATTGGCTTAGTGGTTTATGAGGAGATGTCATTTAAAGTAAAAGTTTACGGACGGACGGACGGACGACGGACGGACGCCGGACGAAAAGCGATCACAAAAGCTCACCCTGTCACTTTGTGACAGGTGAGCTAAAAAAAGAAAAACAACAAAAGAAAAACTGAAATCTATTAATTGACATAATGGAACCAAATAAGTGCTGAAAAGGCATGGTCAATTTCCATTGTAAATTTTTCCAACAAATAAGTACTGAAAAGACATGGTAAATTTCCATTGTAAATTTTTCCAACAAATAAGTACTGAAAAGGCATGGACAATTTCAATTGTTATTTTTTTCTATCACATTTTTTAAAATTTCTCTTCACATTTTGGTTTCAGAATAACATTTCTTAAATATTCATGATACAAAGATATAAGTTTAAAGTCAATCTAACTCTTTTTAAAAGACATCAAAACATCCTTTTTATAATACAAAATAACAATATTAAATAATCTTTTTGTTTGTTTGTTTGATTTGGTTTTACGTCATACCTACTCACTAAAGGTCATACGGCGACTTTCCAATTTTACTGGTGCAGGAAGACATCAGGTGCCCTTTTGTGCATTATTTCAGGCATGAACGGGCACCTGAGTAGAACCACCGATGTTCAGTAAACTAGCTGGATAGCTTCCTGACATAAAAGAATCCAAAGTCCCTGTCAGGATTCAAACCCACAGCGGTGAGGGACAACTTGTTTGAAGTCAACGAAAATAATCTTTTAATATTTTGCCTCTCTCTTTAATATAGCCCTTACCAATCTAAAATGGCAAATCTTTTTTTCACTATGACTTAAGTTAAAATTTAGTCATTAAATGTAACTAAAATACTTTTATTATATATTATAATAGGAAAACTAACATGTAATTTTATCCTATAAAAGCAAAGCTGTAAGTACATTCAATACAACATCAGCATGCAAGATTTTCATAATAAAAAAAAAAAACAAATTTTAAAATTGTTCAGAAACTAAATTTGTTTCATTCTACTAAGTCCTTGTAGACAAAACTTTAAAAAAAATTCTTTAAAGGAACTCCACTGAGGTCCAAAGGCCTAATAACATAAAATATGAAAATCTGAAAAATATTAAGTGAAGCACTGAAAATGGAAGACTCTGCAAAGGATAACAAAGAAATATACTTTACTCAGAATAACATGAAAATCAATCTTTTGTGCAACTCTGAGCTGCATTTGAGTGAAAAGCATTGTAACATTTCATTTTTGGGTCATTTTGCACAATAAAAATGATAATTCTGGAAAAATGAGGTGAGAGAATGACCTGAAAATTTGCACACAAGTTATTAGTTGAGACTTGATTGCATTAATTTGTAAGAAAAATATTTTCAGTCCCGACACGTCAAAAAACCTCAGTGGAGTCCCTTTAATGTACAATAATTATAAGGGTTCAATCGTGCATGCTGTACGACAAAATTAAAAATATAACTGAAAATGAAGACAATTAGAAATATTAATCATATTAAAGATTATTGTGGGAATCATGATCAGTCATGTGTGAAGTGTGAAACAATGAAACAAAAAAGACAAGTTAAATTTTATTTTTCGGTGAAAAAAAGTGAGAAAATGACGAGGACAAATCACTTGGAAAAATGTCATGTACACAACAGCAACTATGCAACATTGAGTAATTTTCAATGTTAACTCTGGTAATTTTGTTCTTAAATGGAAGGAAGAAAATGATTTTGAAATTTTCAACCATATTTGTTTTGAATTTTTTCTCCTAGAAATATGCTCACAATAACAATGTTCTGCATGAATTCCAATATTATGTTCAATTATGATAATCGAGTGCTCAACATTTTTTAATATCTTTTATTCAAAATCAAGGTTAGTCATTGCTATGAAATTGTTTCTTCTTTAATGCTCTTTTCATTCATTAATCTCCTTTGATGTATTCTGTAAAAGCTAAATAACTATATTTTTAAAGTTCAAATGTAAATGACAAAACAAGTGACCCAAGAATCCCCAACAAGTTAATATTCACAACTTTACATTACAACCATACAAAAGCATAAATCTTTCATTTTTATCCAAACTTCAATTATTTGAATGATACCAGAGTTAACGAAATGAAAATTTGTACGCTCAATTCATACTATTGCTAAAATATGATGACTTGTTTCATCGAAGGAATCATAAAAATCCCCGAATTCGCCTAATGACATCATAAACATGGCCATAATAGCTTCCGCTGGATGAGAGAACGCACTTCCATCAATTCCCAAGTATATTATATACATTGCTGAAAATATAAGTCAAAAATGCAAGCTATTTTTCGTACACTAGGGATCTAAACATAGAAATATTCACACACACCGAAAGTTCTAGAAATCTCTAAACACAATCATAAAAGCTGTAACTTATAAACGCAAAGGTCTTTATCTAAATTGAAAAACTTTTTCAAAGGAACACTGAAGGGTTGAAAGAGCTATACAAATCTATATGATGTGCTGAAAATCTTTTGATTTCATCCTAAGAAATTTTGCTATTTTTAGTAACAAAATAGCCTCAAACTCAAAGCATAATAGCCTCAAACTCAAAGCATAAATCTCAAAGTAAATACAATTTTCTAAATAATACTGGTTGTCACGATAGATTTTCAGCACCTCAGTAACATATATCACACATACTGTAATATCAGAAACAAATTGTTCGTTTTGATCTTTTTCATTTTGTTAGTTTATTCACAGAGATATATTTAAAAAGGACAGGAAGCTTTGACTCTATACACTTAAAAATCTGTATTAGGGATTTATTAGTATTAACGCGCAAGTTCACATTTTTGTGAGATTTCCCGAGACCATGTGGTACACAAGAAAATTTAACGACATGTGTGACGTCATATTATCTTAAGAAATACAGATTAAGAAGATGTAAATTATTCTCAGTAATGGATGAAAATGTAAACATGTTTGGTTTTATTAAACAAGATGGTGGAAATTGATCAACGTTAAGGGCCAATGAATCTCGGGCAAGGGATTGTGGGTCAGGATTGGAAATTTTTTAGAGCTTCTTATCCCTCTGTAATATAAGTCTCTGGTTTAGATACCAAATGACATGGTCAAAACAACAGAAAAATTGATGTCATATATCAGTAGGATATATTAAGAAATACTGCCATATTCAAAAAGAAAAATTCTGTAATAAAACTTTGGGTAAAATATAGCTTCAAAAACAGTTCCACAAAAATATCTTTATAAATGATTATGATATAAAGTGTTTACAATTTTTAAAAAAATATTTGTGAAAAAAAAATTAAAATATCTGAAAATATTTGTGAAATAAATTTAAATTATCTGATATTACAACCACCTAAACATTCTAAAATTAAACATTTAAACCAATAAACATAATAAAATTTGTGACTCTGCAAATACAAACATACAGTTTACGTGTGCGACACTCGGAACATAGACAAAACTATTGAGGAAACAAAACATGCAAACAGTTTCAACATGTATAATTTCACAGCTTCAGGTGTCATTTTATCATAACATTTAATAAGTAACAAAGTGAAGGTCAAAGGTCAATACAACTTTCAGTTTTCTTGCTGGAGCGGCAATTTGGTTCATTTTCCAACAGAACAGGGGGATAAAAGTAGATCTATTTAAAAATTGCAAAAAAAATATTAATTTGACCGAGATAAAGGAACAAACATTAGGACCAAGCAGCCATTTTTTTTTCAACAAATATTTAGGTATTTTGTTTCCCTTGCATGCGGTTATGCCTTTCAGAATTCTAAATAATCTCCAAAATCAAGGTGAAACTGTTTACATACGAAACAAAACGGAACTTAAACAATAACGTTAATGCATTGCTGAAAGATGAAAAACATGTGCATTAAGAAGTTTACAATAGCAAACGCCTTGTATTCAATGACTCCGAACGACTCATAAAGGTCGCCAAATTCTCCGAGCGACATCATAAACATCCCCATAACGGCTTCCGCGGGATCGGCAAAAGATGTTACATCAGTGTTTTTGAATATCAAAAACATAGCTGCATAGATAAAATGTAACAGTCAATTACATATTCTGTTGTCTGCTGGTGTGTCAAATATAATGTATAAATTTACGCCACTTTATCTGTGATAAAAAAAGAGTTCCATGTCTGGTTTTCTTATCAAACCATTACTTTAAACTGCCAACCTTAGAATTTTTATTTGCCATTCTGAGACCTGAGATAGAACTCTTTATGGCCCCTTCATTCAACCAATATCATTAAAGACAAAAAAGAACTATTACAAAAACTATTATACATGTATAATGCTAAAAGCATGAAAGAAATTTATAAGATAACTTCATTTTCCAAAGGCAACATCTCATTCAATTGTAACAAATTCAAAACATTTATAGCCCAAGACATTGGCTTAGTTTTGGATTACAGATGTCAAAATTCAGCAATAATAACCACAATACAGTCAAAGCTGTGAACAAAGATCACCCAACAGATTGACCACACATGGCCTTTATAGACAAGTGTGAAGGTAACTTTTTTTCTATTTAATCAGAGAATTTCTGTTGTAGACTGGCCTTTATTTGTAAGGTGATCTTAATTTAAAGGTGTTTTTTTTAAACACAGGTTTGACTGTATATATAACTAGGATCTATTGTATCATGCCATAAAGTTCTGATATTTATTGTGATACTGGTGTAATAAGAGAAAACATGGTTGGGACATAAACATCAAAATCAGTAGGCCATTGTTCCCCAACAAGTCAGACAAATTATGCAACAATACTTCTATTTCATTATCAAAACTTACAACTCAGACAATTTATGACACATTTTCAAGACTTCCTATAGGGTCAGTTCTAGGCCTGATTGTCTGGTTGGTTTCAATGCCAATTTTAATACATTTCTGGTTATATCTAAGCAGTTGGTCCAACAAACCAGATTTCTTGATAACTAACCAGTTATTCCCAATTTCTTCGCGGGTGATTGACTAGTAATCACAAATGATATCTGAACCAGCGTGGACAAACAAATGACCATATGACACAAATCATTTGTCACAGAAAAATTCCAGCTTACGCAAGGAAATAACTAGTGGCCCTTAGATTAAAAATCTGATGCTCTTGCTATATAGAACTAAACATGGGGACTATTCTTGTCCCGGGAGAGATAAAATTTTCATGAATGCTTGAGAATTCTTACCTTGGGAAAATCCTACGATGAACACAAGGTAGATAATGAAAAATCTCCGCAGATCTCCTTTAATCATCTTATATATCATAATCACAAACGGCCCAACGATGCGAACACCTCTGAAATATAGCATGTATCATAATGGTTAACAATTATCTACAAATTTTTGGTAAAAAAGTAATACTGGTACAAACAACTTTCTACCATTGTTAGGTAAATAACCTCCTCCATGGTCGAGGGGTTAGAGTCAATGACTTCTAATCCAGTTACCTCTCTGGCGTGTAGGGTTCGATCCTCAGGAGATGCTTTGGTAGTTTAGCACGGAGGAAGATAGTCTAGTACTGGTGTAACTCTCCAGGAACGATGGTTAGTTGTTGGGAAAAGTGGTAAAATGAAACAAACAAACAGGTAAATAACAAAAAAGGAATAAAAAACAATGAAAAAGCACTATTACAATAGATGTTTTAATTTCGATAGTAATAAAAAACTTTATAAGTTTACCCTTTAATAAGTAGGTATAATTCAAAGATATGAAAAAAATACAAAATTTTTTATTCCTTATCTTCTTACTAGACAAAAACTGATCAAGATTTATTCTTATCTTTCTAAACTTATAGAAAAGTTGCTCTTTAACTGTATAAACTTGTTTTCATAACTTTTGACTATATTACTTTAAAGGGATTTTTGACATGACAGGACTTGAAATATTTTTTTCAAGATTTGTGCACCTTTTAATGAAGGTCTTAACCAATAATGTGTGTTCAAATCTACATATCATTCCCTCACCCCTTTTTGTCCACAATGATCATTTTTATGAATTAAAATGACCCAAAAAAGAAAAGTGTTGCACACAATGCATTTCACTCAAATCTGGCTAAGAACTGCACAAAAATCCTAATTGAATACAATTCTGAGTATAGTGTCAGATTTATCAATTTGTTCTGTCACAGTTATAAGGACACCCGGTTATAACAAGTAACAGCACAAAGTCCTGATGACATTGTTGTATCCGGAGTGAACTGTATTTCTTTATTATCCTTCGCAAACTTTTCCATTTTAAGTGCCTCACTTGATAAATGAAAAGATTTCAAATTTTATGTTTTCTAGACTTAATGACCTTACCTTGGTGGAGAAACCACAAAATTCGTCACCCTAGTGCAATAACTGGTTAACTTCTATTAAATTTAGAAGGACTAAACCTGTTACTGCACTAAGGTGACAAAAATTACCTGCAGAAGAAGAGGAAATATGGTGCCGTGAACAATATGGCGAGTACGCCCATCACGTCCTCATACTGGTACGCCGCCGACGCCCGGCCAGGTAACATCATAACAACAAACAGACATGACATCAGAAACATCGCCTTTGTTGGTGCTCCTCTCTAAAATAAAAATAGTATTATAAATTATATTATATTTTCATTTATGAACTGAATATTACAAAAATTAAATTTATTATTGCTTCCAATCTTACGCATTGTATTTTAACTTTTTTTTCTTTTTTGTTTTTGTGTGTGTTTTTTATCAAATCTTTTGATTAAAGGTTTAACCTTGATAAGATGGCGAGAAAAAGACATTTGAGCCGCGCCATGACAAAACCAACATAGTGCGTTTAGGACCAGCATGGATCCAGACCAACCTGCGCATTCCCGCAGTCTGATCAGGATCCATGCTGTTCGCTATCAGTTTCTCTACTTGTTATAGAGTTTGTAAGCGAACAGCATGGATCCTGATCAGACTGTGTGGATGTGCAGGCTGGTCTGGATCCATGCTGGTGGCGAACCCATTATGTTGGTTTTGTCAAGACGCGGCTCATTTTAACATTTAGCCAGCTGGCAGTGACTGAGATCATGGTCAATGTGACAAGCATTTATCAAACCCTTGATGGTATTTTATTTTTTTATTATTTTTTGTTGTTGTTGTGGGTTTAACATCGCACCAACATTGTTAAGGCCATATGTTGACTTTCCAGCTTTACTGGTGGTGGAAGACCTCAGGTGCCCCTCTGTGCATTCTGATGGTATACTGAATATATATCTGACTTACCAGTGTTGTAAAGAAGATATTGAAGCCTTGATGATATATTTCCTTCATTGCCAGACCAAGATATACTATAGCTCCAAACAGTACTAATATTTCCAGGGCAAATCGAATCTGAAATATTCAAAGCAAAGTTTACACCTGACTTTAAATGTCCTTTTGAAATGCCTCAAATTTCTAGTTTGACAAAGTTTATTGTTGAATTTTAGCAGAAATCAGTACTGCAGCAAATGAATCATAGTCTTTTATTAAGTAGGTATTTATTCAATATCTTATTTTCATTAAGAAAACTTTCTTCAATATTACAACTTTCATAATGTAGTCTTTCACTATTATAGCTTTCATTAAGTAGACTTTTTTTTATATTGTTTCTTTCATTAAGTAAATTTTACTCAATATTGTAGCTTTTATTTGGTGATTTTGCTCAATTTGGTAGCTTTCAATGAGTAGATTATACTCAATATTGTAGCTTTCATTAAGTAGATCTCCTTCAATAAGAAAATGAGCATCTCACATTATCCACCATCTTGATAAGGTAAGCAAGGGCAGTAACTCTATTATAAACGTTAAAAAAGTTATGTAGATTAGCATTAATCAACTTACTGTATCCTCCGTTGAACAAGTTTTCAGCAGGTACCCGGCATCAATCTCTGTCACATTCTGTAGCATACCATTACTGGAGTTTATTTGACGTGTTTCTGGGCACCGATCTGTGCCGGGACGTAGAATAAATGCAGTAACAAACAGCAAAAAGTATATGATGAAAATAACAAACCTCCTGTAGAATCTGCAAAAACAAGAGAATGAGTTGTTTAAATTTTAAATCTATAATGCAAAAAATGAATAAAAGTTTTCAATATGATAAACATGTATGATGAAATACTGTGTTATTCAATTCACCTTAGATTGATTTTCTTCTTTTTTTCTATTTATTGGGTTTAAAGTTGTTCAAACACTGAAATGGTCACAAAGTGCCATTCCACTCAGCTGTTCAAAAAGGAAAACTTCAAGTGCCTAGCCTTCCTGCTACTTTTTTTTCAGGCATAAGGAATAAAAGACTTTCTGTAAGTTAATTGGATAGCTTCTTGGCACACAGAATAACTCAAAAGTATCTTGCAAGTCAGAAATGACTTCAGCAGTGAGTGGCTAGAGATTCAAAGAAAGAGGCCTCCTATAATGTTTATTTCATGTACCATTTTTCAAACAAACAATTTAAAACATTGTGTGCGATATACATACAAATATTGCTTCAGTATTTAAAGAAAAAATTTTTAAATCACATAACTGCAAAACAAAAATTTACCTGAATCTAGCAAAAACTTTCCATTTTTCCTTCAAAAGATTAACTATCAAACCGTCCATCATGTCAAGGTGACCTTCAGACTCCTAAAATATAACACACACATTTTACACTTTTGACATTTATTGCAGGTTTTTTTATGTGAATAAAGCTATATTGAACTGCTGATAATATTGAATGAGTAATAATTTATCTCATAGTAAGAATCATAACCAAACTAAATTAATTGAAATAATTAAAGTTTATTTCAACGAATGCGAGCAACAAAATCCTGGAATAATCACTAAACTCAACTTTTTCTCTTTGAAATGTAGAGTTTATAAATATACCTTTGCTTTATTTAATTATATACAATAGTTAAAGGGACTCTTCTGAGGTTATTTTATTTGACTGGACTGGAAATAATTTTTTAAGATTAATATTCTATTTTATGTAAGTTTCAACTAATAACTTGTGTGCAAAATTTCAGATAACTCACTCACTCCATTTTTCCAGAATTATTTTTCTCAATTGTGCAAAATGACACAAAATTGAAACGCGTTGCAACGCTTTTCACCCAAATAAGGCTAAGAATAGAAAAGATATAATTTCAACTCATATCTGAGAATATTTCTTAATACTCTACTTGCATATCTTTTTGTTTTAAGTTCCCCAGCTTATCTATGTAAGAAATTTTATGTTTTTAGGCTTCTTGATCACAGTGGGGTACCTTTAAGTGACTGTAACTGAATAAGAATTAAAATTTTTTATTTACCCCATAAACAACCAAGTTCAGCACAGAGAATTTATCCAGTTCTCCGGCAGCGGAGATTGTGTCAATGTCTGGTAGAGGATAGCCGGCACATGTAACATTTCCGTAAATCCAGTAAATCTGTCTTATTATCTCCAGAATATGTTCGTACATCTAAAAATAGATCAATGAACGGAATTATATCATTATGTACATGAAGAAATATATTTTTGCTTACATACATTATAGCCAGGCTGTATTTAATGCAAAAATCTGCAATGACCATCGAAGATTTTTTTAGCCCTACTTTATTTAATAATTTCATAAATATATACACAGATATCTGAAAATGGAAAATACCAAAGAAACTTAATGCACTTAGATGGGCATCATGTCATTTTAAATAATTAAGAATGAATTCTACAAATTAAAACTCTATCACCAACAAAGAATTATCATTCTAATCAAATTCATTGAAATCATTTGAATCTGTGACTTGTTTTAAATCAAATTTCAAAGAAAAGATAAAATTGTAACTTTTTACTGCAAAGGGAAGTTACTTTAAACAAATATAAAGCAAATCTTCAAAAGTGTTGCCTCCCTTTGCAGCAAAATTTTCTCACAAGCATTACCTCTTTTCTTGCAAGTTTTGCGGCCAAAGTCAGGGGAGTTAATCCTTGCCTGTTTCTGATATCAAGACGGCCGCCAAGACTGTACAGAATGTCAAACATGTCCTGACGAGACAAAAAAAAAATATATAATTATTTAAAATTTTACAATATTATTATCAAAATATAAAATTTATAACCCTTGCTAATATTGATGAATAACAAGACTTAGTATCAAATTATCATGCTATAAAACTGCAAGGCATTTTTATACTTACTGACTTTAAAAGTACCTTTAACACATTAAAACATATATTGAAATTTCATTTAATTATTTTTAACCATTAACATTCTAAAACATTCTAAAATCATTCTGAAAACTTTGTGGAGTTGATAATTATACATTCTAGAACAGAAAGTGATTAGCCTTTGCCACCAGTATAGAGCCAGGCCAGCCTGTTACTCTGTGCAGTCTTACCAGGATCTATACAGTTGTTGGTGGCTTAATTTTAAGTATTTGATATTAAAAGGACTCGATCCACTGAAGTTTTTTTGACATGATTGGACTAGGAATAATTTTTTCGATATTAATGTTCTATTTGATGTAGGTCTATGGCAGTAACTTGTGTGCTGAATTTCAGATCATTCACTTTCTCTGTTTTTCCAGAATAATTATTTTGTAAAAATGACCAAAATTGTAAAGCATTTGAAATCAGGTTAAGAATAACAAAAAAATATGGTTTTCAAGAAGTTTCTGAGTAAATTTTTAAGTTAACATTTTGCATATCTTTCTTTTTTACGTATGTCAGATGATCTATGTACAAAGGTCAAATTTTTATGTTTTTAAGCTTTTGTACTTCAGTGGAGTTCCTTTAAAATCCCTAAAACCTTGAATGGACTGTTCCAAATTCAAAGCAGGGCAAATCCATTACAAACATCAGGTTAAAGCAATTCATGTAATTGTGCATGTTAATATTCTAAATTTTTTAGAACATTAGTAATATTAAGTCTTCCTTGATAATTGTTGACATGGTATTTTACGTCAAACATCATTTTACTAGAGTACTATTGCTTTTTTGAAAATCTAAATCATCACCTGAATGAAGTATAAAATCATATTAAAACAAAATGTATCATCTGAAAAAAAGCTTTTAAATAAAAAATAGAAATAAAACAATAAAAATATTTTTTTTTCTCTAAAAAAACTGATGCAAAAAAGTAATTATTCACTATAAAACAAATCATTACCTTAGTGCAGTAATGGGTTAACTCCTATTTAATTTCAATGGGACTTAACCCCTTACTGTACTTAAGTGCCAAATGTTAACTAAAATTTAAAATCAATCACAATAAACAATATAACATGCCAAAAAAAAAAAATTTGTATTATCTTTTAGGTATTTAATATATTTTTAACTAAATGTACATAAAAATAAAAATTGTCTTTTAAAAGCTTTGTACAAAAATTTACACAACCATCTAGACTGACAGTGAATAGAAATAATGGTGACTTTTCCATTTTGTTAAACTTTTAACACTTAAGATATAAACAAAACCCATATTTCAAAAAAAAAATGCTTAATTTACCTTAGCCAACTAGTTTAAATATGTAATTGTAAACAATGGTTAAAAAAATGGTTGCCAAAAGAATAAAAACCTGTTGAAAATCTAAATTATCAAATATTATGGTTTAGTAGTAATCAGTACTAGTATTTCTTAGTAATTCCTAGACATATCAAAGCAGTTAGTGGCAAAAATTTTAGAAATGAAATAAAATTTTACTATAATAAATTAACCCATTCAGTGACACAATAATGTTTACATGAAAATGAAATTATTTTGGAGCAAAGGTTAAAGTTAAATTAGTGAAAAAAAATGTTACTCAACTGACTTTGTTAAAAACCTCATGAGGCAGTTCAGGTTGGTTTTTCTAAATGTATTTAAATGCAAGACATGGTTAAAAAATAAGTCTTTTAATTTGACTCAAGGTTATAAAACTAATTCGTAAACCAGTCTACCAATACAATCATTATCATTGGTCCATATACAAAATTCAAATTCGAATTCAGCCAATCAGAAGCTTGATTTTCTGACTGGCTTACATACTCAAGTTTTATTACCTATTAGGTCAAGGAACAATGTAAATGGATTCAGAATAAGGGTGAATAAAAAACAAATCATTACTATAGGGCTTGTCAGATGTTTGGCATAATCTGTCTGTCAATAACAACAACAAAAACATAAATAAATAAATAAATAAATAAGCAAGGAATCTATACTAAAAAGTGAGAAACAAAATACAATTTCTAACAAAAGTAATTTGTTTCATATTTATCAAACCAACCTAAACTAAATTAAGGTTCCTATAAATCTGTTATAAAACCAAAATATTTGGTGGTAGGATTAAAATAATATTTTGTAACCAGAGCATATTTTGATGTTTGTAATCATCAGCTATAGTCCGAGTTACTCATATGCTTGTAATAAACCACCAATTACACATTGTTAAAAATTGTTTATAACATACATGTATACATCAAATATACAACAGCTACAAATATGCCACTATTATTTCTGATATTGGTCTTTTTATTTTGATTCTTCATTGATACTTCTTGCTCCATATCAGATTTTATTATCACAAATATATATTTAAGATGTCATAGATTTACATGTTAATGCAACAATGTACATCTATGTCTCAGAACAGAAACTTTTGTAAATAGACATAAAAGTGTGTTGATGTTTGAGAACCATGAAGTACAGTCATCCCTTTAAACAAAGGCCATCCAAAGGAAAGCCCAAACATGACCTTTATACACAAGTGGCTATATTTTATTAGTCAAGGGTTGTTGAGAAGTTGACTTTATTTACAGGATGATGATCTACATTGTTTTTTAATTCAAGTTTCACTGTACACTGGTTCTATTTATTCAAAATAAGCTATCCCTTAAGTTCCTAGAAAACTTAGATAAACTGTAGCATAATTTTGATGAAAGCTAACAACTTTTTTTTTGAACCAGTCTGCTAACAACTTTTTTTGAACCAGTCTCTCTAGTCTACTTTCATGACAGACCAGTACTGGTTACATAGCATGAAAACATGGTATGACCTTATTATCTATTAGGTGAAGGGGAGGCAACTCATCACCAGCTTCTTTCAGCAAGTCACAAAGGGTAACAGTAACTGTTGTATACCTGTACTGTGAATTGGCTTAATTTTAATTTCATGGGCATGAAATTTCGTGGTTTTGTCACAAAGAACATTTCCGTGGGTCCTTAAATTCCATGACTGTTTATTTTTCCAACAGGTGAAATGTAAATAATTTGATGCAAAATAACTTTACAGAAGACGAAATGAAATTTCACTGGGTCTTAAATTCGTGGATTGCCCTATTCACCAAAAACACGAAATTTAGTGCCCCACTAATAATAATGGCTGTGCAGTATTTTAAATTTGGTCATGTTGGTACAACAAATAAGAAACACTTGTAAATGTTATAATTTACATTGCAATTTGTAAAAGATTACATTGTACATAATAACTATATTTATCACACACCCCTGTCGATTTTGAGACTCCGTAAAAATGGTATTGCACGGCCATGAATATATTTTGACGTGACATCATCAGCCTTATACAAAATGTAAAGACGGGCTATTATGTTAGCATTATACTGTAAGGGTGTCAATGAAAAGACTTTTTTCACCTTATACTGTCTTTATTTTGGGAATGTGATAAATAAAATACTAAATTTGTGTAAGTTCATTACTGAATTTATTGAACTCATTGAATTAAATAATAGTATGCTCCCTGGAGGCTCGCATAATATAATTTTATTCAACTTGTGCAATAAATTCAGTATTTAACTTACACTCATTCAATATCCTCTGTATATGTATCTATTATATATGACATGTAAAGCTAATGTCAACAACAGACAAACAGAAATACAACATAAAAATATATGTCCCTGAGTGTGCAATACAGATATAAGCAGCAGTGACATTTACTAACCTTCTTTGGAGTATACTGGACGCAACAAATAAAAGAAAATACTGTACATAAGTAAAGATGCATTGTAAAATATACAGTAAACCCCCAAGGCATTCAAACCCTTACTATGACATTATGTAATAAGTAATAATTTAAAGGTCAATGTCTAAGATTGTCGATCAGAAATTTGTTTGGTTTGGTTTTACCGCCCTGAAACACAATTTAGGTCATGTGGCACCGAAACACAATTTAGGTCATGTGGCACTGAAACACAATTTAGGTCATGTGGCACCGAAACACAATTTAGGTCATGTGGCACCGAAACACAATTTAGGACATGTGGCACCGAAACACAATTTAGGTCATGTGGCACCGAAACACAATTTAGGTCATGTGGCACCGAAACACAATTTAGGTCATGTGGCACCGAAACACAATTTAGGTCATGTGGCACTGAAACGCAATTTAGGTCATAAGGAACCCAAACAGGAAAGATGATTTTGGCTAACCTCAGGTGTTACAAACTTAGAGATATACAATGCTTATCAATCCTTGAGTAAAAAATTTCAATCACAGAAATTTATTATTGAAATCTATGAAATTCTTACTGAATATTTCTCATTGAAATAAAAAAAATGATTAAATATTAAATATTTAAACATGAAAAATAGTGAAATTTTGAATTTAGAAATATACAAATGCGTTCATAAGACGGTTATCATGGAACCTCCAACATGACAGGTTGTACCATTCTATTTAAAAGCATGGTTATGGTCCACCAAGTAAAAGAATGCATGAGCTATAAACGAGAAAACAATGGACAAAACAAAACAAAACGAATTTTCAAAGGAGATCAGAGGCTATATGGCCTTGTGAAACTCTGATTCATGTAGAAATTATCCAGAAAAACATGTCTGGGATAAAAACAGTTGTCATATTAATGCAGAAACAGGTTAAATCCCATCTATCTATATAAGGAGTTAACCAGTTACTGCACTTAGGTTACGCAGTGAACATGTATATTCTACGTCTATATAACTGCAACATTACAGTACTTTGACATAATTATTTCTATGTTTCATGAAAATACGATGTGAAGTTTTAAAGAAAATATTTGAAACATACAACATTTAACGATATAGAACTAACCTCTCCTTCTAGTTCCTTCTCCTTAGGATGCAGCAATAATTAAAATATCAAATCATAATATTAAAACGGAAAGTTAATTTACTAAACAATCATTTGATTTAATTCTTAATAATTGTAAATTTGGAGTAGTGAAACAGCAGGACAGCAGATAGGATGGACAAAGGCAAATATAGAGGACCCCCCCCCACACCCCTATTAGTTGTTGGGGCATCAAAAAGGCTGTTGATCATTTAAATGTAAAGCTATAAAGATTTTTTGACAGGGCATACAAAATTTACAATAGCTGTGAATCATACAGAATGTAATTACATAAAAGTCTTTGAGTATTGAGTAAACAGTAATATATCTAATGAAAAACTACACGACTGTATATACATGCATGAAGAGAATAGCAATTATAAAATGCCACACAGTTAAGCCTAATACATTGCTGTATTCGCCCTTATATAAATTGCTATAAGAGTATTTTACCTTTCTGTCCAAAATAACGAGCATGTGCATCACAGTGTTTCCGTTGCTATCCTGTAAATTTGGGTCAGCTCCCTTAGCAACCAGCAGCCGTACACATTCTTCCTGACCGAGGCAGGCAGCAAAACTTAGAGGGTATTCCCCAAAATATACATGTCTGAAAAATCAAAGAATTATATGTGTGACAAGAGTATCATGAACACATTTGTCAAAAGAACAAATTGAATCATATTTGGTTTACATACTATTGTCATTTTGTATGAGGGCTAATTTGCCAGTGAAATAATAAATCCTGTACATACAAAAAATTTGCAAATAAAAAGAATAATCAACCATTAAGAAATACATAAATGTTAATAACATATTATGTTAATAACAAAACACCATGATAACATATCATGTACTTAACATATTAGTTCTTAAACCACATTCTTAACATATTGCTTTCGTAACATATTGCATTTTTAACATATCACTCTCTTCTAATATACAGTGTTCTTAACATACTCTGTTGTTAACATATCACTTTCTTAACTAACATATTGTATTGTTAACATCTAATGTTTCTTAACATAAAGCGTTCTTAACCTTTTGCCTACTTAACATTCTGAACATTCACATCTATAACATATCCAATTATTAACATATCATATTGCATTCTTAAAACATCATGTTATTAACATATGGTGTTTTTAACATATCTTGTTGGTGTTCTTAACATATTGTTTTGTTAACATATCCCTTTGTTAACATATAACATTCAGGATTCTTAACATATCACACTCTTAACACTTCAATTTATTGTATCAAGCCTAATTTTTATTACAGTCATGTACAGGCACATACTATATAACTAAATTTTGGTAGGTTCAATGTGGATCCAGAGTGATTATGCAGCCTAGAGATGTACAAAGCCAAGTAGATTTGAAATTGTGCATTTTGAGATATACTTTACAGGATTCTTTTGATGTAATGACAAAAGTTTTCTTGATTCTACCAAATTCATGCATGTGTTCTTCAGTTCGATAAATAAGCCTGGGTTTGTATTGCCTAATAGAAGTTGCACCTTTTTATAGATAAAGTAAGAAATTTTACACACCCTTCATAGTTTGTTTTCTGACAAACATCAACCCACTCATGGTCCATACTGTCTGTGCGTGAGTCTTTCTGGTCATCTGGTGTGAAAAAGTTTCCATAGCAACGCTGGTGGTAGTCCGCACCTTTGTCTAACAGGAACTTCACCATACATGGGTCCTCATTAACTATGGCCATGTGAAGAGCATTTTCTCCTGGAAAAAATAAACATAGCCAAGTGAAAGGGATTTTCTCTTGGAAAAAATAGGACAAAGGCAAGTGAAAGGCATTTTATCCTGTTGAAAAATAGGGCATAGACTTTCTCCTGCAAAAAATAAGGCATAGCCAAGTGAAAGGCATTTTATCCTGGAAAAATAATAGGACATAGCCAAAATTGGGTTTTAGTTGCACCAACACACTATAGGTCATATGGTGACTTTCAAGCTTTACTGGGGGAGAAAGACCTCAGGTGCCCTTCAGAGCATTATTTCAGACACGAACAGGCACCTGACAGGCTGGATAGCTTCCTCACATGAAAGACTCCAATCCTCTTTTGGGATTCGAACCCACGGCAATGAGTGGTAAGTGGTTTGAAGTCAACGACCTTAACCTCCAGCCACAGACATCCCATGATAAAATAATATTGGACTTTTGATATTGATTAAAGAAAGTAGTTCCATACCGTAGTACTCCTCTGATAGGTAAATATCATTGATAAGTTTCGGGAAATGGTGGAGCAGTCTCTTTGCCAGGTTAGCATGGATAGCCGACGAGTTGAGTAGACAAAGATGGAGGGCAGATTCCCCAACAGTTCCAAGTTCATCGCTCCTCCAGCATAGTTCACGGTATTTACGATCTACAAATATATAGAATACCTGATAAAGTGAAAAAATTATTATTATAGCAAATGAATCAATTCATCATTGTTTAATTATTATCTGCATTAAATATCATCAAATCATTAAATCTTTATCATCATTATCATCATGCCATCTCTCTTGCCAAAACCTTTTCCTATCTCAGGATTTTCATTGGTCAATTCCCATTCTGTACCTGTTTCTGACCAATCAAATACCTGAGATCTGAGTTTGAGATTAGAATATTTCTTTATAACCTTGACCCCTGTTCTTTAAATCTTCTTGACTTTTGTTGTCATCAAATTCAAAGAAGGTCAAAAAAAATTAATTAAGATTTTTCTTATTTTAAAAATGGGAACCGATATGCTTGTTAAATGTATTTCTGAACCAAAATGCCTGGACTATGGCCAATATACATTGACAGTTTTAATTGCTACATTTCACCCATTTAACAGGACACTTAAAATTGGCAAACACATCAATCTAAACTACAAAATTTAGTGCTTAAACATTGTATATATATCTATTAAATAATTGTATCTGAACTGATAAGAGTACTTTGCTATAAACTTCAAAGTTTTTGATATAACACAAAATTGCCATGGGTGTTAAAACTGCACGTCTTTTATTAAGATCTTGAAATCTAAATACATGTACTAAAAATATACAATATTATAAAGTGGAACAAACAATCAAGTGTATAAAATAAGCTATATACATTTAACCAAGCCTACCGCAGAAATTACCTATAACTTGTCAAAATATGCAAATCTTTCTCTTATACCTTTAGTTAATGGATAAAATTTTAGTGATTATATCTATAACTATTAAGTTTAAAGATCCTGTAACACAATTCTTTTATGGTTTTATTTCATAAATACAATGTTCAAATTAAGATTTGTTAATATTGTAAGTTCCAATAAGCATTATTTATAAAGATATTACCAAATTTAACATTTCATGTAAATAAAGGGAGGTAATTAGAAAATTATTTTCTATAAATTCTAAGTCATTTTTTCCAATAAGAAATGAATGCATATTATTTTTTTATTACATATAATGTGCACAAATATTTGCAGTACATAACTTACATATTCTTAGATGTTTGAAACTTGTTTTATTTGCATAATTATATACATATATAATTTTTTTGTAAGGGTGGTATACACACAGGTAAAATATCAATCACAAAACATACAGGATCTTTAACTATTTACATATGCTGGGTTTTCCCTTGGAATTTCAGACATTTGGGTCCATAACCACTTTCAGACAATGGGGTCAGCATAGACCCCCCCCCCAACCCCCCCCCCCCCCCCTGTTTGAGATTTTAGGAGTCCATTAAAAGATTTTAAGGAGGTCCCATATCGAAATATAATTTCGGAAATTGAAATCAATTATAAACTGTTCATACTTTTTACTTCTATTTCTATTTTAATTCTATTTCAAGGACAGCCACCTTAGAGATAAACTGAAGAGCTTGTAAACTAAGGGTGTCTTGAAAAGAAATGCCTAACTATACAGAAGATCAAATTTTTATAATTTATCCAAAAGTTACCAAATCACCACAAAGGAATGGATATTCTAAAATGGTTGGTGAGTTTTGAGGGTAGGTCAACAACTAAGTTAGACGCTAATAAGAAAAGAACAAGAACATTTTTAACAATTACAGTCGTCCCTATATCAGTCCATTTGAGTTTTTGAGAAAAAAAAATTCTTAATAGATTCTAAGTATTAAATTTCAATATACAAGCCCACAGTTATATGGTCAATTTATTAAATGTTGTTAAACATTTCAGATAAATTATTTTTTGGAGAATATTTTGGTCAAGTCAACCAAAAATAACATAATTTTCCTGTAACTGTAGAAATGTTTTAGGTTTTTCTCCTGTAAGATACATCAACAATTAAGCAACCCTGACAAGTTAAGTTGATAGCCAGTTTTCACAACCAAAAAAGTAAATATCTAAATGATTCAATAATATTTTAAGTTTTTTTGTAACACTTAGACATTGCCACTTTTAGAATTCACAAGCATTGGCATACCTGTAACATTAAAGCAAATAAATATGGGTCATAGACCTTCCAATAATCTTATATCAAGATCCATATAATTGTTTTAATTGATCACAGATAAATCAATATAGCACAAAATGTCTTTCTCAGGCTAAAAAAGTATGGGTTTTTTTCCAGTATTAAAAAGGTTTGCGTTGTAAAAACATTATTTTTTGTTGTTTTGTTTTCCTTAATAATAAGTTAATACATAATTTATTTTAGTTTGATTATGTTGGAAGCTATAAGCTAATAGACACACTCTTGAATCCGTTCCTCAGGAACCAACCAGTAATTAGCAATGAGAAGTAAAGTTTCTTGCTTATGGAAACAATGGCCTATCCCTGCAGAGTTTGAACCCACGCAGTTAAGAGATTCTAAATTTTCCCAAATAACCAATCAGTGAAATAGTAATATGTGCATAAAATTGTGTGCAATGTTTATCAAAACTTACCAACATACAAATATCGTAGAAAATTCTAATAATTACAATAAGGAAGTTTCAAACAGATATGTGATGATTGTGTGTCCTTTTTGTTTCCTGTTCTTTTAATAACACAATTTAGTTATAACTCTTTTTTCAAAATGGCAGACATTAACATATTGTTATTTACCTTTTAATTACTTTATGGTTATGAGATAAAAAGGTCTTGCATGTTACAAACAAGACATAGTGTTTAATGATATCGCCAACTTATTATAGATAATATCTTCAATAACAATTAGAGAGCAAAATTGCTTTTGATGAAATCTGAGCCGTGGAAACAAACATTTCTGTTTTCTGTCTTAAATTTCACGTCCTACGCTGGAATGAGAAATCGATACAACACTTAAACCTATCAACTAGTAAAAGTTCTGTCAACACTGATAACAGTTTTATTATGTCATCAAAGTCTGATCTCCTCATTTATAAATCGGCCCAATCAATTTTATTGACAGACTGTTATTTTGTTTTCAATTATTATAAAATACTTAATCAAACTTGATAATCTTTTTCTGAGTTATAAATATCTGTTGTTGATCAATGATGTACTTGCGTTTAAAGTTTCAATGTTTGCACAAGAAATAGAGGGGATTTATACGATGTCAGGAGTTTGTGTGAAGTGAATATGCTGTCACTGACAGCTTTAGCATTCAAGTCTGTAAAATGCTACTTCTTTTTATGGTACCATGATTACTCAGTCCGTAAAGACCAAATGTACTTAAATAATATTACTGCCAGTTTGAAATGATGATTTCCAATGCATAGTTGTGACATATAATTAAATACATGAATATATACTGTATGTAAATTGTTGTGCCGCTTCTTATTGGATAAGACAGAAAAAACAATGGATACTTTAATATCAATAGTATAACTGCAAGTTTGAAATGTTGATTTTCATTAAAAAAATTGTAATATATAATAATATACATGAATATATTATACTGCATGTTTGTTATGCCGCTTCTTAATGGATAATCATGAGTTTATATAGTTTTATATACAGGACTGTTGTCAATTTATAAAGAAATCTAATTTTTTTTCTCTAAAAAGGAAGTTTGCTATATTATTAATTTATTCATTATAAATAATACTGGCAGGTCATATCGCCGTATGCAAATGGTTGTTTGCAACATAACCAAGCCACATTTTCCAAACAACTGTTTATATAGGGCTATATAACCGGACAAAAATATTTATAACTAATAATAAACATGGTTGATGTAAATCTAGTAATAAATCTTAACCTGCTGATTATATTTAAATGGACTTGGTCAGCTTCCAATTTTTGGAACTGTCCTTTTAAATTTTTGAGAATGTTAGGATGGTCATACTGCACAAATGTTCAAGCTGGCCTGACTTTATATGGGCGGCAAAGCTTATCACTTTCGGATCCAGCAGGTTAAATGTTAATTAAAGAAAATATTATAAATATGTTATACGGAATTTCAACAGGATATATTGCCTAGCTCTAAAGGTTATATAATCTTACAACCACTGATACTAGGTTATATAGCCTGTCAAAAAATCTTGACAACTTATTCATTATTTTTTTACCAAAACAAGATATCAGACTGAAGGACACTTTAATTATTAAACTGATTCATAGTAAAAAAAAAAAAAGCCTAGAAGTATTAATGTTTACAAAGGGGAATATGTAAAAACTCATCCAGGTATTGGTCTTTGCCAGTGGCCTGAACTGTAACACATAAAGTAACAAAAACATGGTCTAGAAGATATGTATAAACTCATTTAACTTTAAGTGAAGACCATCACAGGTAAAACTTCCAAGCACACCTGAGTACTCAAGCAGAAAAATACTTTTGATTCCAGATATTACATAAAGAATTATCAACTGTATACAGGGCTTTTTTTCTGAGGTACGAGAAGGGGCCTTTCCCTTAAAGGGTATTAATCAATATTTTATGAAATATTTTTTATAAAATTCATCAACAGTACATTATTATATGGTTTATTCCCGAAAAAGTTGTACATTGTAACATAGAATGTCTCTATTATTTAATACACACGAATAATGAACGTAAAGGGAATAAAAAGTTCCGGAACAAACTATTATTTTCCTATTTTGAGCAGGGTTTTATCCATTTAGCAATAATTTTGTGCATGTGCCATTAGCTTTTAAGGTAATAAATTACCATATTTATTTCATACAAGCATTTGGGAGGATACCTTTTTAAAATTCAAAAAATAATTTTTGCATCAGATAATATATAGCTTTATACACTTTAAACATTTAACATTTTAACTATCTAAATTATAGCTAAATTTAATAATAGATACTAGGAAGAAGTTACATAGATTTATCCAGGGACTATTGTCACCATTTTAACACAACAGTCACCTAATTTCCTTGACACTCCCAGACATCTTGGAATCATTATGGTATGTATGAAGTAAAAAGGTCATGGATAGCAATTATGTTCCTGGTCATCTTAAGGAGAATATTTTGTAACCTTAGTGCAGTAACGGGTTAACTCTTTATATGGTTTTACAAAAGTTAACCCATTACTGCATTTAGGTGATATATACCATATCTTTATCATTGTAATATAAGTCTGACTTTGGAGGCACATCCAGTTTCTTAAGTAGCATCAACAGAATTAGTAACGATTCGCCACACTAACGATTCGCCACATAACGATTCGCCACGGAGTAATAACGATTCGCCACAGTTAAATAACGATTCGCCACAGTATGATTATAGATCTAACAACGATTTTTTTAGTTATCAACCAACTTTTTCCTTTTGTTTTAATAATTTGACCATGACAATAATTTAATAATGTTTCTTAATACAAGTAATTTGAACTTAAAGCCCCCATCGCGGATTTTCAATTTATCAAAGTAACGTACATTATTACAGGAGTACATTTACAAGAAAGTGATAATATATGTTGATTAATTATAAACATAAATGTCAATTAATATAAGAAGAAATAGTTTATTTCGGTAACTTATACATTTACAGTATCTCGTTACATACAATAATTACAAATAAAATAATTATGTGGTCACATGACAAAAGCAAAGAAAAAAAATAAGAAGAAGAACATAAAAAAGTTTTAACTGATGACATTCTTACGGAGAACAGAACAGCTGCAAATAAAGGAACAAAGAACATCACAATTTCATTATCATTCATAGAAATAAATATATATTTCATATATTATATGTATGTCAAATATTTTAAAAAAATTGCAAAAAATGTGATCATTACGATAATTGAATAAAGAACACATATCTAAAACATTTGTCACACCTTTTATCTTAACAAGCCAATCACCTTAAATTGTATAAATATTTAATTGACGCCGAAATAATCCTTTAATTATCTGACAATGTGAGCAGATTTTCAAAACAATGCGGCAATTAAGCTTATGTATGTAAAAATTTCATGTCTGTACGTCTTGCATTGTAAATGGCTATGTATGTATGTAAACACATATTATGCTAATAAACTACATGTTATGTTATGTTATGTAAATTTGTAATAAAATATGTTAGTTATATAAATATCTTATCTAAAATGTGTACAGTAATGTAATTTTGGTAGTAAAATATATTATTTTCATTTATTCAATTAAAGCTGTTTTCTTTTAATTTTCCAGTTTATATAAATAACAAAGTTTAACTTATAGATCTACAATGTGTAATGTAATTTTGGTAATAAAATATTCATTTGTCTTTATTCAATAAAAGCTGTTTTCGTATAATTTTCCAGTTTATATAAATAACGGAAGTTTTTCTCATCTACAATGTGTAATGTAATTTTGGTAATAAAAAAATTTAATTTCATGTGTTTTTATTCTATAAATGTTTGTTATTATATTTTTCCAGTTTATATAAATAACGAGGTTATAAAATGTGTTATGTAATTTTGTTAATAAAATATTTGGTTTTCGTGTGTTTTTTATTCAATAAAAGCTTTATTCAGTGTAATTAATTTATGTTATTAACAAATGAAATATAAAATGGAAAAAAAGTTTTCCATCAACAATTTGAAAACAGGTGTGAAAAAGTTTGTATTTCAACACGTGGCGAATCGTTATTTAACTGTGGCGAATCGTTATTACTCTGTGTCGAATCGTTATGTGGTGAATCGTTAGTGTGGCGAATCGTTACATTACCCATCAACTAGATCTTTGTGATATTGAATATACTCACTCTGGTTCGCCAAAAAAACATTAATGATACGGGGGCCATTCCCTTACTGTTGATAGGTTATATCACACCAATGACAACATTTAACAGGTTCAATAATGAATATCGTTGCTCAGGTCAAGTTGAGGCCTCACCATTACAGATTTTATCATTACCAGATTGCTTTTACTTTAAACAAATCCTATATACATTTCTCATTGTTAATTTTAATGGATTATGTAATATTTCATATATATCTTTAATTATTTTACTTTTTAACTTTTATAAGACCTGGCTTGACTGGCCGAATGTATACACCCTTGCATGGGGTTTGATAGAAAAGGAAGATATATATTGATAGATAAATAAATGAGGAAAATGCCTTTGGAAGAATCATATATCCTTAGACAGATTGTAAAAACACTTTTTTCTATCCATCTCCCAATAATCACCAACCCCTCATAGGAGCATATAGACAACTACATTGTATGCACCGTGCACAGCGCATAATTTCTTGACACACACTTGTGTCAGAGTATAGGGTATATGTTTTGTACCTGGTTTATTGTGAAGATAATTTCCCTCAGCATCTGTTAAGTGCATATCAATCTTTGCAAGCTCTTTTGCCTTCTCTTGTTTTTCCTTGCCCACTCTAATTTTTGTTCTCTGTCTCTCTTTATTTCTTATCATGACCAAATCAACAATTGGAATTTTCTTGCCTTCTCCATTGTTATAGAGAAACTTCGGAACCTCTGTTAGAATTTTTTGATCTAATTCGGTATAATCTTTAGTCCATCCTGCTCTCTTTGCACTTTCCATCAATATTCCGCCTCCTTTCAAATCTACAAGGTGATACAAAGCTTTCGCTCCTTTGTCAGCTTGATTCTTCACCCCAGAGGCAACAACTGCGGTATTCCCCATGTTTTAAAAAACTTTACCACGCCTTTTAACTCTTTATTCACGTGTTTTATCTAAAATTGTCCTCCATCGTCAATGTAAACAACATTTTACCCAATTAACATACAGGAAGTTCTACTGCGCATGTGCGTTATCAATGCAGACTGGGCTACTGTTTAAGATTTTTCCCTCGAAATGACGTCATTGAACAAGTGCTTTCTGAGAAGTTTCAAGCTTCTAATGACGCTGAATTTAATTTTGTAGAACAAAATGTCGTCTTAAATTGCTTTCTTGCGTCTATTTGCGAATTATATTTTTGTGACCAAACGTGAGACATTTAACCTTAGAATCAAAATGAGTGATATATTTATGACCAGTCTGTGGCCAATAAGCATGACGTATCTTTGATCTTTACGAATGACAGGTAGAATAGCTGTAATCTGTCATGCTTCGCTAACTCAGGTAGACATCCTTAGCAACTGTTTATAGCGGCTTTAACGACGACTCTCTGTGTGTTAAATCAATCAAACAATCCAATCGATACAAAGATTTGTTTAAGGATTTTTCACAGCTATCGAGAAAGTGTGTTTGTGGAGGGAAACACTGAAAAGAAAGAATGACAACGATAGCGTTTGGAGGTGGCCCGTCCCTTGATCAACGTCGGGGGTTTACAACCCTGAGGGACGGGACACACGTTCCAGGGTAAGTCAATTTAATATACTTAGCATTATTTTCTCCACCTATTCATTGCCACTTCCGCTAATCAAGATAATGGCTTTATAATTACTTGACACTCAGACAGATTTAAAATGGATTAACAGATTATTAATAGCTTTTGAGTGGCATAAAATAGAAAGTTGATTGCCAATAAATAATCATTCATTCATATTGAGTTCAGGAAGTGTGGTCCACTTATTAAGTTATTTAGTGTAAATGCTGTTTAATTAATTTATTTTTTAATAGGTCTATACAACAATACAATACAGTTTATTTGCTTTAAACATTATAACAACGTTTCTAGCATAATAATACAACACAATAATTTATTAATGACATGTATGGTAAGTTGGTGACAAAATGTAATTTAGTGGCAAATGAAAATACTGTGATATTTTTACCTTAGTTATTTTTTGCCAACATTTAACATAAAGTCCTTTTTTCCCTTTTTTTAATTCCTTATCATTCCCCTTTTTTTACCAGGTTTTCAATTTTGAAAATCCTGGTTATTAGATTGGGGTATGGCGGGCGGATGGGCGGATGGGCGGGCGGGCGTCAAACGAAATTGTGTCCGCTCTGTAACTCTTCAACCCTTTGAAGAATTTTGATGAAACTTCAGACAAATGTTTACCACATCAAGATGACGTGCAGAACGCATGTTCCGCATGGCTGGCTCCAAGGTCAAGGTCACAGTGACATTAACATTGAAAATCCTGTCCGCTCTGTAACTCTTCAACCCTTTGAAGAATTTTGATGAAACTTCAGACAAATGTTTACCACATCAAGATGACGTGCAGAACGCATGTTCCGCATGGCTGGCTCCAAGGTCAAGGTCACAGTGACATTAACATTGAAAATCCTGTTTACATGACTTTAACTTGATTTGGCAGTCAAAGGTCATATCATCTTTGGAGGTAATTTAAAAAAAGATATGATATATTATTTCATGTCTACTTTGTAACTTGTTTTTCATTATACAGAATTATAAATATAATTATAGTGAACAAATTCTTCTGTGCTGAAACTCGTCCTACATTTCTCAACGGATTTCGTTCAAACTTTCACAGAAGCTTTGTCATCAAGCACCCTGGCACATATTGTCGGGGTTTTGTGATTGGATAGTTTTTGACCTAATTATGGCCCTTTGTTTTTTTCCTTATACATAATATTATAGTGAACACTTCTTCAGTGGCAATTCCTCCTACATTATTCATGTTTTACATTGCACATAGTTACATTGTTTGTTGCTTGTATTTGTATTTCAAATACAACATATTTATCTACAATGGTGATAATTGAAAACCTGGTTTCATGGCATTGCCATGTTTCTTGTTTGCTTTTTTATTATAGTAAAATTACTGGTTACCAATAAGAATTATACTGTGTACAGAAATGACTTTCTATTATTTACCTGTGAGTTTACCCATTTAACTTTATATACATGTGCATATATCATGTATCTTCAATGTGCAATGAGGTACAGAATTTTAATATTTTTTTCAGTTAATGTTTTGTTAAATGGGGTAAAAAAGTTCACATTTTTTTTTGTAAATTTCCGAAATGATCTATTTATGTAATAATTAAAGGCATAATTGCATGTTTAATAAGATCAGATAATTCATTATGTCAGTTTCTGTTGTGAAAATGTTGGAGGATGCTGCATGGTACCTACTCAAGTATGAATGAAATATATACTTATTGTGTTAAGATTATGCCAATTTATTTGCTTGCTACTTTTTGCAATGTTGTCTTACAAATGTGTATTTTTTCATTTTCACAATTCAGAAAATATAATTACAGTTCAAACTTCTTGTTTTAAAGATACATGTAGTGTGATTCCTGTTTTATATTATCGAAGAGTCATATTAAAACAATTAAATTTTGATTTTGAATTTTGGGAAAGGGTTTAGTCTTTTTGGTAAAAATGTGTAGCCGTGCTGCTAAAATTGGGATTTTTTTTTAAAAAGTTACCTCAATATCATATTTGATATTAATTTTAATTAAGTATTTTACAGAGATTTATTACTCTGCAAATATGATATCTCAGGCTTATGTATAATTTGGGAATTTTATGGTTTAGAATTGGGAAAACTGTCTGTATTGATTGCAACTGGACACAAACATAGAAAGAAAAGAATTGGTGTATTATAACTATGATATCCCCTGATACAAATTTTGTTTTTCATGGTATTTTTCTCAAAGGTTTATTTATTATGCAGATACATTTAGTAAGTTGCAAGTACAAAATGCATATTGTTAATTATATTTTCAGGTACCGTGGATATTGCCCTCAGATTAAGTACCGTGTTGGTAAAACGTACGGAACAGATACACATGAACTTGCTCAGGTAAGTGTAGCCATATTGTGTGTGTTTTTTTCGTTTGTTTATACTGTTGGCCAGATTAAACCACATGTCCGAGACCTATGGTGTCTTTGCTGCTACGCATTGGTTGCCTCATTGGGGATATCTTTGTCATGATTATCTATCTGCAAGTCTTGTTCTTCGTACAATGGAAGGAGATGACAACTTCATCCAAGGCAATTGTTTCTTTTAAAACTTCTCTTGGTAAGGTGACACCAAATTCATTAGTTAGTCAGCACAGGTCAACAAATCTTACCTTGTACTTAGGATGACTTGACCTTGACCTGCTGTGAGCCTTCCCTGCAATGGGCACACCTCAAGAGGCATTTGGGGAAGTGTAGCCATATTTGTCATACTGTAATTTTTGATAGTGTTCTTTATATTAATCAATATATTTATAAAAGATGATGAACCTAAATTTGTCACAATTTTCATTTATTTTGCATACATATTTTGTCAAAATTTAAGGTATATCAAATTATTATAAAACTTAAATGTATCTAGAAACTTCTAAATCTCAAAGTTGCAAACATCTATAACAGTTGGATAATATAATCTACTACATATAATTCTTAACACTACTAGATTAGCTATAAATTCTTTTACTTATACACAATGAAAATATTAAAGAGAATATATAAGCCAATACACTTGATTTAAATCCCCAGTGAAAATTGCAATTTGTTCAAATCCCCAATATAAATAAAGTCCCAAGTTTTATGGGTGAATCGTGCAAATCTTTCCACTTTTGAATATACTTTCAATAGATTAATCAGTTTTTCAAACACCTCGCTTTTATAGAAATCTTATACAGTAATGGTGTTAAATTTCAAATTTTATGGTGTAATTGTGAAAGTTGTTTGCACTTTGCTTAAATATTGTGATTTTCAAATTAATAGTGAAAAGCATTTAACTTTAAGTTTAAAAATCAAAACTGAAATTAATTATTAAATATCTGTATGTTAATATTATATTGCACTGGGAGGCACAATGATTCACTGGATTAGATATAAATGTTATATTCAAAAGTCCTATATTTTTTATGAAGCATGTTAAAGGAGAAATTCTGAATGTAAATTGTTTGACAAGCACCAAGCAGTAGATAATCTGGTAAAGGAGAAATTCTAGATGTGAAAATTAATGTTTGACAATTTAGCGCAGCAGTATTATCTGGTCAATTAATTAAACATGTTGGCCTAATATATTGTACTGATTTTCCATAATTTAAGTTTCATACACATGTACATGTATTTGAAATCAAATTGTAACAGTCAGAGTTATAATCATGCCAATATGTTAATTTTAGTTCAACCATTCGAAGAATCATAATGGAGAGCTATAACTTCACTGTATTGTACTCACCCAGGAAGCCGGTCTCAGCATAAAATTTAAGTGTGCAAGTTGGTATCTCTAAAGCTACTGAAGGAAATGGGTTGAATTACTTCACACACTAATTTGCCTCACTGTCAAAGGTCAATAACTCTAACATGGATTTTGACAGAATTATGTTCCTTTTTGAAATTAGAAAAATCTACATTGTTCAGGCTAATGTTTAACTATCAAGCACTGAGATTATAGTCTGAAGCTCACTGTCCTACTGACAACTCTTGTTTATTACCACTAGCTTTACCAACTTGGTTTAAATAATATGAACTGATAGAAAATGCCTTCATATTTTATTTCGATAACAAATCATGGCCCCAAAAACAAGTGGACATAAAAAATACCGTTGAAAACACTTCACGACAACCCTTATGATGTTTTATCTCCAATTCATGAAAGATTGTGTTAAAAAAAATATTCAGGTGTCATTTATACGGAATATTAAAAAAGACATACTCTACCACCGATCGTTAAAGTATTGTTAAGTTTTAAACAATAGTAAAATATTCGACTAAGTGCGCATTTTGTTATTGTTTTGTCTGTTGGTTGCAATTGAACGGTCGTAAAGGTTATCGATTAATATCATCATATCATATGCTGTATCTAATAAAATTTGAATGGTTGGTATAAACGGGTTAAGTATCAATAGGTAATAAAAATATGCTTTACTGCCGATTGTTATTCTTTTGTTAAAGAAATGGTAATAAAGTAAAGCTAATGGTATTATCATAAAGTGGCAAGGCATAAATTAATTTGCAATTCAAAATTTGTGATTGAAAATTTGAAATGGAATTCCAAATTTTGCCTTCATACAAATCATAAATTCATTCAATGTTAAGATGTAATAGTAAATTTTTAATAACTGTTGAACTGGCCATTACATTATGTGTCATTTAAAAAAACAAAAAACAACAACAAAAACAACTTGCAACCAAGGCCTGTTACAGCGTGAATATTACACATCATTCAGTAGGACGGTCATCGATCGGTCAGTCTAGTCTGTCAGCCTATATCAGTCAAAATAAAAATGAAATGTGTATAAAATAAATGACAAATTATTTGGAAAAACAATATGACATTGTAGGGTTGTGTTTTTTCCACTTTCGATTAAAAAGCCTTAAATTCAATAACATGTACCTTTAGCAATTTGGAAATATAAAGTCTGCGCACACTCATTAATACATAGACTAACAAAATTGATAAAAGTCCCAGGATCAATGCCTGGTTTATTCATAGTGGTTCAGCCGAAACAATAATAGTTGGATATTTGGCATTATTTGCGTGGTTAAAGATCAAACCTTCAAATATTGAAACAATTAGATCAATATTGGTCACTAATATTTGTACATTTATATATATATGTATTGGTATTAATAGTTACAAATTAATATTGGTCTGCTAATTTGAAGCCTGACCATATACTTCAAAGTTATGATATAAATGAAAGTTAACTTTAAAGATTGATTGATTTTTGACCAGTCAATTTGAATTTAAGTCATGATGTACTATATCGGCCTACTGACTAGCTTTATTATACATGTATATGGAAAATGTATGGAAAATTAAAAAAATGTCTTATACTGGCTTGCTACAAAGTTGTAGGCCAGTACAGATGTATTCATTTTGAATGATTTATTCTTTAAATTAAGTAATCTAAAGGGGGAAATTTATGGAAATGTAAAGTAAGATTATGTACATAATGTTTCCAAATCTTCGGTAATTTGTTATAAATCCGATCTTGTCTCTTTATTTGCTTTTTTGGTACTTGTGTGATCATCACTGCGTATTTACAGTACGTGTTTTACCAGCCCGTCATAAAACTTATCTTCCAAATTTCAAGAGGCTTTGCGGAGATGTTTTAAATAAATGGTGTCAACGTGTAGGGCTTTCAGGCTACTTCATTATGTTTGCCTTCGAGGGTATGTTGATATTAGAGATTATTTTATTTATTCGGATCGTTCGCAACTTCAGAACTGAAATACCACGGTTTATTCAGTGAAAGTACATTAACAAATGGCTTAAACCTCGCTGATTGATAACATTAACATAGAAAGATTTGAAGAAAAGTTTACATTGATCCATCAGGATAAATGAATGTATAGTCTTGAAAAATCTTGAAGCTTTATATTTGTCAATAAGCAAAGTACAGGTAGATACATTTGTTATAATGTGTGTAGACATGAAATAATTAAAATCCTTTTACGGACATTTGCACTGTACATCTTCTCTGACATGATTGTACAGCTTGCACAACTTAAAGTGAAGGCATATCTAAGTAATGGAAACTGCGTGACACCCTGCCCAGAAATAATGCAGTGGCTGAACTGTGCTGTGATGAAATAAAAGTAAATACAAGCCACTGCCATAACTTGTAGGCCATGCTACAAAAACAATCACCATCATAATTATTCTCAGATTAAATAGGATATTGCGACAATTTCTGATGATGTTAAATGCCTGAGTAATATATCGAGAGGGCGTATAATTTTTTGATTTATTTGTTTTATAATTTGTTTGTTCGAATGTCTCCAAATTTATTAGTGCAGGCATCTTGATGAACACTTGACCCAATTAAAGGTCATAGGGGTCAAGGTCACTAGCACAGATATCATGGCATTCATTTAAACATGAGAAAAGATTCCTAAACAAAATTTGGTAAAATGTATAGAGATCCATTGACCATGTATGAAGACACATTGAAAAATAATCTGATTTGATTCACTATACCTAACTTTTTATATAATATATTTTAATGCCAGCTGGCAGCTTTGAGTTTGAGTATAAAATCAAATTCTGGCTATGCACAGCTAGACTTTATCTATATTTCTTTATGAAGTCACAATTAGTCTTACACTGGAAGTGACAATTTGTTCTTACAATTGTATACAAATGTAATAACAATTTAATATCATTTTAGTTCGGACTTCTTTAATTGTACTGAAAAAGTGATAAAAATTGTATTTTAACAAGTCAATAATGACTTTTTTATCAGTTTTATCTATCTGTTATAAGTTGTTTTGGAATTGGATTTACAATATGTAAGATTCAAGTGTTGTTGTTTTGGGTTTTTTTGCAAATATATCATAACATGATTTTTTAAACTATTGGTGTATTCTTATTTCAGTCACGTATTCACGTCCATCCATCAAATACTGTCACAGCCCCGGAAGGAGTACAGCTCGTACAGCTACGCAATACACTGCCAAGATCTACCGGAGATAATAAATATACTGAACAAATGGTGCCCGGATATACAGGTATATACTTAACTCATAACCGTTTTCTGTGATCTCCCCTTTTTCTCATAACCATTTACCATGACAACAATTATTTCACATAATCATTCATTGTGATAACCATCATTTTCTTCTAAAAGGTTTCTGTAACTAGTATAAAGGATCACCCCCCCCCCCCCTCCATTTTTTCATAACCATTTTCTTAAATAATCATAATTTCTCATAACCATTTAAAGTGATTACAATTATTTTTCTTCTAAATGTTTTGTGTGATAAAGCAATCATATCATTCATTTTCTCATAACCATTTTCTATTACAATCATCCCCTCTATGCCATTCACTATGATAGCCATTATTTCTCATAACCACTTTCCAACACAAACATTATTTCTCATAACCACTTTCCACCACAACCATTATTTCTCAAAACCACTTTCCAACACAACCATTACTTCTCATAACCACTTTCCACCACAACCATTATTTCTCAAAACCACTTTCCACCACAACCATTATTTCTCAAAACCACTTTCCAACACAACCATTACTTCTCATAACCACTTTCCACCACAACCATTATTTCTCAAAACCACTTATTGCCACAATTATCATTTCTCATCATCACTTTCTGCACTGAAAATCATGCTGGTCATAAGCATTTAAAGGAACTTCACCCTTTACTCAGAGATTTATATAGAATTTTTGAAGTATTTTGATGTGTTACTGGTTTAGTTTCATTTTGGAGTGTAGGGGAGCTAACTCTTTTAGCATGATAGGTAAGTTTAACATGAGTGTTTTCCCTTGGTTTGACAAACGCAAATCTTGTATTTATAGCCTATGTATAACAGGGCTTTGTGAAAGATTCTTTATCCTGTTAAGGGTTTCATTAAAGTGGAAGGATATTGCCACACATCAGTTCTTAAATGTGTTAAGTTCTGCTCAATGTCATAGGTAGAAATATTATACTAAGCCTTAGGCATGCCTACATTGTCTACAGATGTATAAAAAAATAATTTGCTTTCTGAAAATGAAATGTATTTCAGATTGAGTATTTGGTATGTACTAATTGTTTGATAATGTTGTAATTTAAGCAAAATCCTGTTGAAAATTGGTTTGAAACCAATCCTGCTCAAGGGATTTCGATGTAAAAATAATGAAAACTGAGTTTTCAACTGTATTTAATCTTGTTAGACTATAGAAATGGTGAGTTCTACACTTTTGAAATATGTCTACTATATTAACCACTTAAGTTAGCTACCTAAGAAAAAAAATGCTGTAAATATCTTATTTCTTCATGCAGGGCATTTTTGCACTATCGATCACTAAGGGTGTAACGGTTTACCGGTATACCGATATATTGCAATATGAAAAAATAAATTTCGAACCGCGGTACGATTTTTGGAAAACCGGTATTTTATAAAAAATCATAATTTTCAATTAATTGCCTTCTAATTTTTATGGTGGCATATTTTTGCCACCAGATAACCATATAACTAAATAGTTAATTATCAGGTTAACTAGTTAAGTAACTATAGTTAACCTCTTAATTAACTAGTAAATTATCAGGTTAACTAGTTACGTAACTAGTTAACCTCTTAATTAACTAGTTAGGTATTAGGTTAACTAGTTACGTAACTAGTTAACCTCTTAATTAACTAGTAAGTTATCAGGTTATCTGGTGGCAGAAATATGCCACCATAAATTTTGTACAAATTTCACATAAAATCTTTAATTGGCAAATTTTGTTGGCGCCAACGTAAGATAAAAGTATCCGACAATTAGTACACTTAAAAGTCAATAAGCGGCCGCAAACTTTACATAAGCGGCCCAGATGTGAAGCTCACACGCGACTAGTTTTGTTTATCAAATTGTGTGACACTACTTTCTATTTATTCCTTACATTTTTATTAAGTTTCTACTAAAAATATTTACATATAAGGCCATCCTTAAAAAAATGTTTGTTTGCAGTAACCCGACCCAGAATTTTCAAGGTGGGTAGGTAGGTAGATTTTTTTTTTTTTTTTTTTTTTTTTTTTTTGAACTGTACTCCCAAATAAACATTGAATGTCAAAATGCTGGACAATATATGCCTTGATAATCTGGTAACAATTAATAAATTGATAACTGAATACTAATTTAATAAGACCTACATTTAATTTCTTCCATTAACCTTTAAAAGAACGAAAACAAAGTTCAAGGCATAATTTTCTGATTCAAAAAAAAAAATTTATCCAGACCATGAAAAAATTTTTTGAGTAGGGGCAAATTTTGTGAGTCGGTCGCGTTACTGCAAACGAACATTTTTTTAAGGATGGCCTAATAATAATATATAAATGTTACTCCATCTTTACATCAAAACATACACGACAATACGTATTGCAATATATTGCAATACGCTTCAGCAAAATGGCAATATATTGCAATACGGTTTTTGCTGTATTGTTACACCCCTATCGATCACCAGGGGCCAATATAAGACCCCATTGCCATTCCATTATAGCCTCATATTTTATTAATTTCAGTAAAAACATTCTCAATAGCTCCCAAAATATCATTCAACCTTTGCGAAAACTTAATAATTTTGGCTTGTTACATAAAAGGAGTGTAGGACATAAGCCCTCCCGTCCGAAAATGACAAGGCGGACAAAAGCCTTCCTGTGAAAAAGACTGGGCAGACAAAAGCCCTCCCGTGAAAATAATAGGGCGGACAAAAGCCCTCCCGCATCAAATACATATACATAGTTACATTGAATAGTTTGTATTTTCTTTTCAATACACTCAACATATTAAAATTGTAATCATGAAATTTTTGTTTTCCATTGGCATAAGCGTGTTTGTATGAGCTTGAGCGCATTCCTGACAGACATCTGAATAATAAGTGCTAAAACCTGTAAGTGCATATTTATTCACGTAAATATGAAAGGATTAAACTCCCATATGAAGTTAAGATTATTATTATTATTAGAGTATTAAATGATGAAAAAAATAGTTTGAATTAACTAGAATAAAAAGTCCAAGACATTTATAATGTGTCTTGTATTATGAGTCAATTACTTTTAAAACAGACTATGTTTTTGGAACATTTATGTAAAAAGATACTACGTTAAACATTTCAGAAAGGACTATATTCTAAGTGAAGAGTGGTTCTAGCTTATGCACATACTTAGGCCAATTAAAACAACAACAAATATATATGTTACATTTTAATATGTTGAGCGAATTAAATAAACACAGGCATTTAACATACATATGTATTTGTGTTAGGGGAGGGCTTTTGTCCGCCTTGTTAATTTCATAGGAGGGCTTTTGTCCGCCCAGTCTTTTAAACGGGAGGGCTTTTGTCCGCCCTGTCATTTTCAAGGGAGGGCTTTTGTCCGCTCTGTCATTTTCACGAGAGCGCTTTTGTCCGCCTTGTCATTTTTGGACGGGAGAGTTTTTGTCCCGGAGGGCTCTTGTCCGTTTCCCACATAAAAGTGACAGGATGTTTAATCATACACTATAATAGAATTTAAAGGCCATGAATAGGGTAGATTGGTTTTTTTTCTTCAAATTTTTAAAATTTCTCATATTGCCCTGAAGCGGCATATAATTTTTCCAAATCTATTAGCCAGGGGCCTTGTCCTAAAACAGTTGAAAAATGCCCATTATTTTAATACAAGTAGAATATAGTGCCTATGCTGTGTAAATCTGTACCAAACTTGCATGTGTTTGTGCTTCTTTTGTAAAATGTTGTATACTATACATGGGGCGTCCGTGGCCGAGTGGTTAAGGTTGTTGACTTCAAACCACTTGCCCCTCACCGCTGTGGGTTCGAATCCCAACAGGGACTTTGGATTCTTTCATGTGAGGAAGCTATCCAGCTAGGTTACGGAATGTCGGTGGTTCTACTCAGGTGCCCGTTCATGCCTGAAATAATGCACGGAAGGGCACCTGAGGTCTTCCTCCACCAGTAAAGCTGGAACGTCGCCAGATGACCTATACTGTATTGGTGTGACGTAAAACCCAATCAAAACAAATATACTATACATTGATGATTTGGCCACATAATAATCTAAGGGAATTGTATTCCTCTTTGGCCACCTTAATAAGTTACCACAATCGAATAAAAACTAATTATGAAGTTAACTTTAAACGCATTGTTACTCTCTGGAAGTACATATCACAAAGGACATAGAATGGAAATGACAAACAAATCTGTATATAAAACCTATAGATGCCCAAATGTACTGGACCATTACTCTTTATCTATACATCTTCAGGGTTTTGGTTATTAACCGATTGGCGATCCAAACCAAAATGCTGTTATAATCGGTTGTATTTTCAGCCTGTATGTTAAAGTATCACCCTTGACCCTTGGCAAAATCAGTTGTTTTTCTTTGGAGCATCTGTTGCCTCAGATAAAAAACTAAAAACAAACTGCATCAAGTAATCAGCATAACTACAAGCCATTCTGAGTCAGACTGTCCTTATACACCATTGGTGAAGAAAAATTGACACAAACATATGCAAAAAATTTGTCTATGTGTCAGAAGCTACCAAACCAATCTAAATCTCAAGACATCACATAATTTAGCTTCGAGATGGAACTGATCAAATCCTTCTGACAGATAAAATGAACAACCAATAGGAAATATCATCCCAATGATTACAGTTTGCAATCCGTACAACCCAGAAGAAAATATGTTGTCACACTTTTTGTATAAATATGGACAGAAATACCTCCACAATTTTATTGCAATTTTAAACATTGACTCTATGTTATTTATATATTTTGGGAAAGGTCCAATAACCCATGGCAAACTTCCAAGTTTATTCTAAAAATAGTAACATTTTGACTAAGTCACACGATATTAAATATCCTCTTGTATAACTTAGGGCTGAAGTTTTATATTGATTTTTATTACGGAATTGTTTGACCGGAAGCGGTCAATAATTAAAAAAGCTTAAACCTACTCTGGTGTTTTGACTTTTTTTCAACTTTATTCTCTTTTTTACCTGTAAAACGTTGTACATGTATAATATTCTATAAAAACTAGGAAAACTGCATGTGACTGCTTTTCGCAACAGCAAACAATGTTTACAAACTCTGAAATCCAAATTTAGGCAAGAATGATGCATATAGTACCTTAAAAATGATTTCATATTATATCCCATGTAATATTGCCACCTTGTATAAAAATTTGAAATACTTGTAGCTATGTTTTTACAAAGTAAGTGACAGGTTTATAATTCTCTTTTGAGGCTGATAATGGATGGACCCAAATACTTTTTTGCAAGTTTAGCTGGAAATGTTAATGTCCCAAAAGAACAACATAAAATTTTCTAACCACTCAGCACATAAAAAATCAATGCACTAGGGGATGAATTTTTATGAAAAGATTGTTGACCTCTTTAAGGAAAGGCAGTAGTCGTACCAAGGTTCATTTTTGTTTGTCATTGTTGATTACAGTTGTTCCCCATTTTTTCCCAATTTGACAAAAATAGTACTAGACTTTCCCATATAATGAACATCGTCAGTTACCTACGATTGATTTAAACATGTAACGTAACTGATAAATGTTATTGGTTTGGCCGTCACAGGTACATTTGTATCGTACGATGCATAATGAAAGGCCCTGGCCTCTTCCAAATTTCTGAAGCCCTTGATAGAATGTTATCATTTTGGCACTGTATCATTTATTAGAATGTTCTACTTCAACAATTAAAATATTTTCAAGCTTATCTTAATGACAAGTTTAATGGTTTTGCATCCTGGTATGAGTTCCGTTGCTAGGCAACAAATGTTAGATGTTAATATGGCTATTTTATCTATTCTGGTCATAAATTTGACAAGTAAAAATCAACTTTAATTGAACTTGTTGGTTGGAGGAAATTCATTTCAGTTTTTAAAAGTGATGCTGTCCGTTTAATTAACTTATATCAATACATATACATGAATACATGAAAGTAAAGCAAAAGTTTGTCTTCTGACAAAAAAGCAATATGAGATGAGATTTAAAGCTTAATTTTACAGACAGTTAAACCTGCGAAACTAAGGTCATCCAAAGAGAGAGACTAAGCAGTGTCTTTATAGACAAGTGGTCTTTATCTATGGGTCACTTTATTCCATTTTATCAAAGAAATTAGGATCAAAAAGTTGTGGTCAGTAACAAAGGTTTGACTGTAAATGCTACAAAGATACAGTTCTCCTAGTGAAATAAGTGCTTAAACTGATGAATTTATGTAATGGATTTGCCCTGCTTTGAATACTAGTATTCTTACAAAGATGACCCGTGCAAGTTGCATACATTAATCTGGAAAAAGTGTGATCCCTCGGAAGCATTAATGACAACAAAATTACATGAAAATTCAACAGACTCGGTTTGATTGAGTCTGTACATGAAGTCTTTAAATTTCTTATTCAAAGGACTAAGTCACTCTCACAAGTATTGGAAACAAAATATGATGTGTATAATGCACAGATTCTTAAAAAGAAAGTAGCAATTTTGTTGTCTCTTTTCTCTTGCATTTACATAAGATACTCTGACATTTTATTCTGGTTTATAAAGGTTCAATTTTTAAGTCGTAGTCTTTAGTGGTAACATGCTGGTCTAGAAGTATATATAACAGAGATCTATAAAAGGCCTCTTCCCAATTGAAATTGAAATTTTCTTCAAAATAATGCAGATTTCCCAAAATATCCTAACACATACCAGGTACCAAGTTTTTACTTTCCCAAATGGACGATTTTATCCAAATCATGAGGCTTATACAGGCCCCTTCCCATTGAAGAGAGAAAAATACCCCCTGTTTTGAATATACAGTTTTGTTTCACTCTATCTTACAGGTTATATACCCAGAATGACATTTAAATTTGGTGGAACATATAAAGAAGATTGTGATGTTTGCATCGATGAATACATGACAAATAGAACGAATCACGATCAGAGACATCGAGACTTGACACGTCAAGTTAGCTGCGTGCCGAGATTAACGGCGGTGTCACATGACCCATCTGTAAAAGAGAAGTTAAATCGCTACAGAGATACGCATCCTTCTAGACCATTATTAATGGGTAAGTGTTGGCATAAAATGTTTGGAGCCGATTGAAAAAATAACGGATATCACATTCTTGGGGATTGTTTAGCTCTGGAATTCAGCCGGAGAAAAAAATACAAGTGTTGGTATAAGAAACTTGGAGATGATGAATGGTCGGGTCTTGTGGTAACGTGCTGGTCTTGTAGTAATAAGGGTTGCAAGTACAATCTTCTGCTTCACCACTAATCATAGATTTTTTGATGAGAGCCTTTATAATCGAGGTCCCATGACTCATCGTCAAGTGCTAATTGTTAAATGAAAATAAAAAATAAATAAGTAGAAAACAGTCTGTAACAAATGTACATTTTAATGAAAAGATACAGTTTTGGAAATATCAGATCATGACTCCAAAAAAAAGAGAGAAAAAAAAAATATATTGGCTGTATTTAAAGAAAGCGATTAAGAAATTAAGTAAGCAGCGAGCCATTCTTGATTTACTAATTAACCAGTATTTTATATCACCATGTTTATATTGAGAGACCAACAGTAAAGTGCTTTTTTGGCGGCAAATTTTGACATTTCTTTCGCACTTTGTGCGTTTTATGACAATATTTCACTTTTAATACACTTTAAAGAAATTTATAAAATAGAAATAACATGAATATGGAGCCATGCTGACTGAAGGGATTTCAATATTCCTAAAGTTTCAAACTGCTACAAACAGAATAGAACCTTTTCAGACTGCATGGATGCGCAAGTCACTGGCCTGGCTCTTTACTGGTGACAAATGCTTACCACTTTCAATTTCAGCAAGGTTTATGTGGGTTAATTTGATGTTCTTATATCGAATGGCTTTATTCAATGTTCAATATGTTCAATGCTTGAACATTGCATAACCACTTAAGTTGGATATCTTTTCTTCAATTGATTTGCCATTTGTCATTTGCCATACAATAAAAGTACATTTAAAAAGGTCATATCCAATGAAATCACTGTAAAGAATGCCAATAATATTTACAATGCCATTATAGGGACTAAAGAACACAAAAAAAAAGAAGAAACTTTTAGCATTACTAAATAAAACATAGCCTGGGTTCCAGTCTGTCGATTTTTATGTGGCTCTGTTCGGCAAATTCAAAACACGATCTAGTATGAAATACCGCGTATGTTATGAAAAAGCAAAAAATACCAATGCCTTTGTAAGTTCTTATGTGGCTACTTTTTCTCTTATGTGTCTAAAAGTACAAGAGAGAGGACAAAAGTGTAGCCACTTAAATACCAAACTTTGAGCATGTCTGTCCTTCACAAAACTTGTTGGTACTTATTCCCCAAAAACTACTGGTACAGTTTCATCCAACTTTAACAGGAATAATCTGTAACAAGTCTTGTTTTGCAATCATTGGCATTTTCTGGTTCAATGATTTTTTTTAGAGTTATGGCCCTTTAATGATTTTTATTTTTTAAAGTTTTGTCTGTACTACTTCTAGTATTTGACTGAAACCTTGAGTGTACCTCAAATACTTTGGCATCGACTCAATGTGCCCTACTATTAGTACATTGTACACTCATGCGCTGTTACAGAATTAGCTTTGACCTTTGTTTTATAACAATGAGTAATGCTGCTATGATACAGTTTTAGAAATCAATTTCAGTATTGTTAACAACATTCTCACGTCTGGCATTTTATAGTGTGACACAGTTCTTGTGGGGTAGATAAAAATATTGATTTTTTTTACTCCGGTAAATTGTGTTAATTTCTATGGAAAGGGAAACTTCAGATGAGTATTTAAATTTCTATGTGTTCTTTTAAAATTGTGGCAGGGTGATCTAACCTTCTTAATTCTAGTTTGAGGCAAGATAGCATGCATAAGTTTGTAACTGAGCTTTAAAAGCCTTAAACATAACATTTGAATTTCTTACATAAATGAGCTGTGGCACTTTAAACAGAAATATATGCAAAGATAGTTAAGAAATATACTAGGAAATAAATTGAAAATCGTATTTTTATGCTTTCCTTAGCCCGATTGAGTGAAAAGCGTTTAAACGCTTTTCATTTTGGGTCATTTTTTTACAATTTGAATAATTATTTTGAAAAACGTAGAGCGCGAATGATCTGAAATTTTGCACAAAGATTAGTGGTCTAAATCTACATTTATCTGGAAAAAATATTTTCCATCCAATCATGTCAAAAAACCTCAGTGGAGTCCCTTTAATATACATGTACATTATTATACATGTGCAAACTTGCCATATTTACTTATTATATTGCAGTGTAACAATATTACATTGGTACTACAAATATATGTTACTGTAGCACACAATTAATAATATATCATTATGTACATCTACCATGAAAAATTATCACATTCATGTACCAGCATGTACATGTAAAAGTACCACTATTACAAGTACATATACTCACACAAATAAACTACTGCAGATGCATTTACCTACATATGAAATACCACATATAAAAGTTCCACAAACATGTGTGTACATATAAATGTCCCATAAACACATGTATTCACATGTAAAAGTCCCACAAACACATGTATCCACATGTAAAAGTCCCACAAACACATGTATTCACATGTAAAAGTCCCACAAACACATGTATCCACATGTAAAAGTCCCACAAACACATGTATCCACATGTTAAAGTCCCACAAACACATGTATTCACATGTAAAAGTCCCACAAACACATGTATCCACATGTAAAAGTCCCACAAACACATGTATCCACATGTAAAAGTCCCACAAACACATGTATCCACATGTAAAAGTCCCACAAACACATGTATCCACATGTAAAAGTCCCACAAACACATGTTATTCACATGTAAAAGTCCCACAAACACATGTATTCACATGTAAAAGTCCCACAAACACATGTATCCACATGTAAAAGTCCCACAAACACATGTATTCACATGTAAAAGTCCCACAAAGACATGTATTCACATGTAAAAGTCCCACAAACACATGTATTCACATGTAAAAGTCCCACAAACACATGTATCCACATGTTAAAGTCCCACAAACACATGTATTCACATGTAAAAGTCCCACAAACACATGTATCCACATGTAAAAGTCCCACAAACACATGTATTCACATGTAAAAGTCCCACAAACACATGTATCCACATGTAAAAGTCCCACAAACACATGTATTCACATGTAAAAGTCCCACAAACACATGTATCCACATGTAAAAGTCCCACAAACACATGTATTCACATGTAAAAGTCCCACAAACACATGTATTCACATGTAAAAGTCCCACAAACACATGTATCCACATGTAAAAGTCCCACAAACACATGTATCCCACATATTAAAGTCCCACAATTTGCAAATACTGATGATGTACCCACATATCCCACAATCACATGTACCCACATATAAAAGTCCCACATTTTTTAAGACATATATCCACATATCAAATATGTTTCTAGTTAAATGGGTGTTCAACTCAATAATTCAGATGCAGTAAAAGATTTAAAAGAAAGATTTCAGTTTCAGCATTGGACTTTCAATATCTGTTAGTACATGATTTACAATTTTGGGTAGGCATTGTGGACAATTGAAACAATATTCAAGATGCATGCCTCCAGATGAACCAAAATATTTCAAGAAAATCAAACTTGACCAAAAAAGTACCAAAATTTTAAGAAAAGTAAAAAAAAATGTTCAAGAATAAAGTAATAATTTTCATGTTAAGTGTGATTTTTGTCTGATTTTGCAATATTTTTTACCATATTTCTACTGCATCAGTACTGCGTGACTGGCACAGTAAGAGCTATTTTTGCATATTTTCATCTCTTTTTGGTAATTTACATGAGTTGTAAGTGCTGTTTGTGAAAATTTTTTCTTTGTTCACTTCACAATATTTTACTTTTAAATACAGTTTTAAGATTTTAATGAAATTAGCATGATGGAATCTGGAGGCGTGCTGCTTTAATATATCATTTAAAACACAGAGTATCTATGCAATTTCAGAGGACAAGCGCCCATTGACAGAACCTCCAATTCCTGGCTACAATGGATATATACCAAGGATCAAACCCACAGAGGTTGGACTTGGACATCGGTACCACGTTGCATGCGACAATGGATTTAGCCAATTTGTGCAGGAAACTGCCCGCCACTCGGAGAGATTAACAGGGACCTTGCCAAAAGCATTAGAAAAGTAAGTCAGCCAATTAATTCTGTTATAACGCTATTTACGAGGAAGCACAGGAAAAAGGTGTAAAAGTTAACAGGGACCTTGCCACATAAAAGAATTAAAGAAGTAAGTCAGCCAATCACTTCTGTAATTAGAATGTTTTCATAGAAGCGCTGGGAAAAGGCCACATATTTCCATGTTTCTCATATTATCAGGGTTTATCATATCATAGGGAATTGTTTAAAACAAAAGAAATTTGCATCTTGGAAACCAAAAACATGTCTTCTTTGTAGCCCTGACACAAACCAAGTCAACATTCAGATAAAAATGTGACAAAAGCATGTAAAAATAATATTTTATGAAAATATCACAAAATCTACAAAACTGTGTTAAAATTCTAACTTGAATTTTATTCATACTGAAGTTAAGTTATTTTGCATGATAAAACACAACACTTAATTAAGAGTAGTACTAATGATTTGAGGTGATTTGTAGAATTAAATCATTTCATCGCGTCCAACTATCAGCAAAAAAATCAAATTCCAAGGTAATTTGAGAAGGAACTTTGTTCATCTAGAGGTTGAGGGTCACAGTGTTCACAAATAGAAAAATTCTCAGATATGTTTTCTTTGTTCATAATATCTAAAAATGATATTTTTCTGTGTTGAGGGCAAGAAATCACTATCTAGAAATGTTATGTAAAGTACATCTATGCAAGTTTAGACCTAAATCCCATGATAATGAGAAAACAGGATAAATAAGATGACATCAGTCGTCCAAAGGCTACGCAAACGCTTCGCAATAGTGAATGCTAAGTTATTACAGTATATACATGTAGTCATTATAGCTGCGTTACTTTTAACAAGTATTTTGAAGTAATGACATTTAAACGGAGAAATATACCATATTATTATGAACAAAGAGTAATAATAATGTCATACACACACACATAGCTAACCATCTATGATGTAGAAATACATTGTTATTAAAATGTGCGTGCTTTGGTTGTTCACAGTATATACGTCATTGTATAGCAATTGTTTAAGCCAATCAGAATTTGAGAAGAAATTCTTTTACGTTATTACAAATGGCCTTAATATACTTTTTTTAAAATATCTTTCTTAAAAGAAATTGTATAATCCAGGAAAATCTGTTTATTTGTAGAAATATTAAATTACTTCATAAATTAAAAGCAGCCATGTATATAGATTATATAAATGCTATGATTATGGGATGAAAAGCCATGTTACAAACATGCAGTATTATAGGTAATAATGAACATAATATTATGTACAATATATAACATGTCAAGAATCTCTAATACTGCTAACTTCTTTATATAGAGAAAAAATGCAGCCATGTACATGTATGTAGATTATATAAATGTCAAGATTATCTTATGAAAAGTGATTTATCTACTATCAGGTGACCAAGGTTTGATTCCTAAATGGTGCAGGTCACTTTCGTAGTCATTGATCATGAAATCCTTTCTTATGGTCATTTGCACTGTACATCATTCTGCTCTGGCATTTACAGAAGTTATCAGTTCCTTAAGCCAAAGTGAAGGCAACTAGTGCTGTTAAACTGTTCGACAGTCTGCCCCGGAACTATGTGGTGGCTGAACTATGTTCTGGTAAATTCAATGTGGCTTCCGGAATGAAAACTACCAACACCACAACCACCATGAAAAGCAGTCTTACAAACGTGTAGTGTCATTAAACCTTTAGCCTGCCAGCTGCATCTAATCCTACCCATCCAAGTGGTTCCATCTGGTCATTGTCTGCACTGTTCATTAAACCTAAACACTCATTACTTATTTTTATAAATTTCCCTAAAAATGATGAATGATTTTGTCTAGATATTTGAAGAATTACCCTAAAAATGATGAAAATTTTTTGTCTGGATATTTAAAGAATTTCCCTAAAAATGATGAATGAAAATTTTGTCTGGATATTTCAAGAATTCCCCTAAAAATGATGAATGATTTTGTCTGGATATTTGAAGAATTTCCCTAAAAAAGTTGAATGATTTTGTCTGGATATTTGAAGAATTTCCCCGAAAATGATGAATGATTTTGTCTGGATATTTGAAGAATTTCCCTAAAAATGATGAATGATTTTGTCTGGATATTTGAAGAATTTCCCTAAAAAAGTTGAATGATTTTGTCTGGATATTTGAAGAATTTCCCCGAAAATGATGAATGATTTTGTCTGGATATTTGAAGAATTTCCCTCAAAGTGATGAATGATTTTGTCTGGATATTTGAAGAATTTCCCTAAAAATGATGAAAGATTTTGTTTGGTTATTTGAAGAATTTCCCTAAAAATGATGAAAGATTTTGTTTGGTTATTTGAAGAATTTCCCTTGAAAAGATGAATGATTCTTGTCTTATTAGTTGAAGAATTTCCCTAAAAATGATGAATGATTTTTGTCAGGATATTTGAAGAATTTCCCTCAAAGTGATGAATGATTTTGTCTGGATATTTGAAGAATTTCCCTAAAAATGATGAATGATTTTGTTTGGTTATTTGAAGAATTTCCCTAAAAATGATGAAAGATTTTGTTTGGTTATTTGAAGAATTTCCCTTGAAAAGATGAATGATTCTTGTCTTATTAGTTGAAGAATTTCCCTAAAAATGATGAATGATTTTTGTCAGGATATTTGAAGAATTTCCCTCAAAGTGATGAATGATTTTGTCTGGATATTTGAAGAATTTCCCTAAAAATGATGAAAGATTTTGTTTGGTTATTTGAAGAATTTCCCTAAAAATGATGAAAGATTTTGTTTGGTTATTTGAAGAATTTCCCTTGAAAAGATGAATGATTCTTGTCTTATTAGTTGAAGAATTTCCCTAAAAATGATGAATGATTTTTGTCAGGATATTTGAAGAATTTCCCTCAAAGTGATGAAAGATTTTGTCTGGATATTTGAAGAATTTCCCTCAAAGTGATGAATGATTTTGTCTGGATATTTGAAGAATTTCCCTAAAAATGATGAAAGATTTTGTTTGGTTATTTGAAGAATTTCCCTTGAAAAGATGAATGATTCTTGTCTTATTAGTTGAAGAATTTCCCTAAAAATGATGAATGATTTTTGTCAGGATATTTGAAGAATTTCCCTAAATCTGATAGCTGATTTTGTCTGGATATTTGGAAAATTTCCCTAAAGATGATGAATGAATTTGTCAGGATTGAAAGATGGACAAGTCTGTTTAAGATACAGGCAATAACATCTTGTCATTTTCCGTTACCTTTAGCTGAATCTTAGTGAGAGCAGTGGCCTAGTGCATCAGGTGTCTCTACCTCTCAGATCCAGGGGGCATGAGTTAGAACCAATATTATCTTCGCATGTGAACAAAGCAGAACGATGGTGGTTGTTTTATAACTTATCTTACATAAAAAAAAATATTTTATAAGACTTACATTGTTTTTTACTTGATTTTGGTATTCTAAATACGTGAAACTTATATTAACACAGTTAACACCCTTGTTACACTTACATAATTGTTTAATACTCATCATTTTATGTAACTGTCTGAAGGTCACTTACCCCTTACAGAGAGAGTTTCAGTTTAAATACATGTACTTAAAAGAAACCTGGAAATTAGTTTATCACATGCTGGTGCATTTATGTAAGTTTATATAAGTTCCAGACTTTAAATTCACCATCCAAGTTCAAATGTGAAAACAAGATTCTAAGCTCAAAGATCAGATTTACAAAACTAGTACTGTAAAAACTTGATGCTGTTGCGGTGGTCTCGACTCTTATTTTCAAATTTGTTGCCTTTGGATATTACGATATCAGAATGTAACGATATAAATTCTGTGGTCCCCTGATTATAAACAGTGTTTACTATATAAGTTATAATGCTTTTATTGTTATCACGTAAATTACTAATAATAACTTTACTTCTATAAAATATGCAATATGGCAATATGCCACTGCGACAGCAGTGGTAACAGGGGGAAAATGACCTTTCGACACATTTTTAGCTGGTATGTTTCAAAGAAAATGTTTAGTTATTGATTGCTGCAGCAATGTCTTCATTGTCGTTGTCTTGTAACTTGAATTACTCAAATATTTTTATCGTTTTCACTACTGGTATACTTTCTTATCATGACAAGGTGCAGTTGTTAGACATTAGGGGCAAAATTCCTGAAGCAGTACTTAAGTTTTTAGTTAAGCCCCTTTTTAACAGGCGAGCGTTTACACCACACACCATTATCTTGTTTGAGCAGTGTTTAAATGGTTATTCTCAAAACTGGGTTGAAGCAAAAGATTTGATATTGTCATAAGGGAGAGTTATTGTACACACAACTGCATCACACTTTTGGTTAAGGTTTTGTTGGTAAATGGCTTAAAAATAAATCACATACTTATTTGAGAGCATCATAGGAGGTCACTGTCCAAGGCCCATAACTTTAGCATGGATTTTGACAGAATTATATGACCTTTTTTGAACTTACAAAACTCTTTTTACTCCTGGCTCTTGTTTTGCTATCATGCATTGAGAATAGCTAGCTAGTCAAACACTTTGTCATGGCAACAGCTCTTGTTATTGTTTTTTCATATTATTTTTGTTAAGTAAATAAATTGTGAAATGTCTGGCATAAAGAAGTCAGTCGGGTATGTTTGTCTATATAATAACAAAAATAATGTTTCAAGGTGTCATAATTGTGGCTCCTTTGATAAACTGTGCTTTGTCATACTGTTAGTATATATTTCTGCTGGTACACCTAGTTTTGAATTTGTATGTAATAGGAGTGTTATGAGATCTGTCTGCTAGTTTAGTAAGATGTTTCACAAGTAATTTCACATTTATTTATATAACATGAGAAACATTTTTTATATTATAAAACACATTGGGGATATGACTTTGAAAACCGCAACCAAAGGAGGTAATGCTTGTTATTTGAAAACACATCTGGATTATACAATATATAATATCTGGATTGATATTTGGAGAATTTCCCTAAAAATGATGAATTATTTTGTCAGTATATTTGGAGAATTTCCCTAAAAATGATCAATGATTTTGTCAGGATATTTGAAGAATTTCCCTTAAAATGATGAATGGTTTTGTCTGGATATTTGAAGAATTTCCCTAAAAATCATGAATGATTTTGTCTGGATATTTGAAGAATTTCCCTAAAAATGATGAATGGTTTTGTCTGGATATTTGAAGAATTTCCCTGAAAATGATGAATGATTTTGTCTGGATATTTGAAGAATTTCCCTAAAAATGATGAATGGTTTTGTCTGGATATTTGAAGAATTTCCCTGAAAATGATGAATGATTTTGTCTGGATATTTGAAGAATTTCCCTAAAAGTGATGAATGATTTTGTCAGGATTGAAAGATGGACAAGTCCGTTTAAGATACAGGCAATAACATCTTGTGATTTTCCGTTACCTTAAGTCAAATCTTGAGAGCAGTGGCCCAGTGCATCAGGTGTCTTCCTTTCAGACCCAGGGGGCACGAGTTTGAACCAATATTATCTTCGCATATAAACTGAGCCAAACAATGGTGGTTGTTTCATAACTTATCTTATATAAAAATGATTTTATAAGACTTACATTGTTTATTACTTGATTTTGGTATTCTAAATACGTGAAACTTATATTAACACAGTTAACAGTCTTGTTACAAATGCATAATTATTTAATACTCATGGTTTTATATAACTGACTTAGAGTCATTTACCCCTGAGACCGTTACCCCTGACAGAGAGAGTTTCAGTTCAAATACTTTTAAGAAACCTGTTAAGTACTTTGTCACACACTGGTGCATTTATGTAAGCTTATATAAGTTTGAGATTTAAAACTGGATTCTAACTCAAAGTTCAAGTCAAGTTTCAAGTTCATCCTAAAAAAAAACTCCAAAATAAGTATAAATGTATTAGCTTAAGACAGGAGCTTTTATTTACTTACCTTTTTCATACAACCACAAACTAAATGCCTATTTTTATGTCACAAACTAAGTAACTTACTAAATGTATTGATATTAGAATACAAAAAAAGACATAATAAATTATATCAGCTTTTATTCTCTATTAATGTCAATATGAGTGGTGGTACTTTAAAGATAATTAAGCCCTTATATGTAGATACATGCTTCCTGTAACAAGTTTGTCAGTCCTTATATAGATAATGGTCATGACTAGTAGAGGACCCCTATAGATATTGAGGTCAGTTGGTCAAATTTCAAGGTCACTGATGCCATGACAACTAAGAACTTGTCTGATCAGTTAAAAGGGAATTCGTCACTGTAAGGTTGTCAGACCAGTATGAGGAGATTACTTTGGCATGTTTGGTCTAGAGTTTCAAGAATTGGTGTTATAGTTTGTGATAACTCAGTAGATGAAAAACTTTTAAATAGTTAATTTATAAGGTCAGTAAGACAAATGTCAAGGTTGCAATAGCACTAAATGTAAAATCCTTGTCCTATCAAAAACTAGATGAAAAGTGGCTAAGTTTGTTTGGCGTAGTTAAGAGACATTGTCTATGGCTGATCAATTTGCCACTTGCTGATTTCAAGGTTAAAGTTCATGGTCTCAGTGACATATATTGAATTCTTTGTATAATCAATAACTTCAGAAATAATTAGCCTAAGTTTATAAAACTGTCTAGGGACATTGCCCATGACCTGAGTAAGAGACTCCCATTGATTTTGAGGTCATAAGGTCAAGTTCACAGTAACACATAAAATTTTTGTCAAATCAAGAACAAAGGTTTCATTTAAGGCATAGATGTGGGAAACCAAGTACAGTAAACTCCACTTTAAATGATATCACTGATAAAGATATACTGTTTATAGCGATGCTGTTGCCATGGTCTTAACTCTTTTTTCCAAATAGGTTGCCACTCGGATAAAGTTATATCTGTATATAATGATATAAATTCTGTGGTCTTCTGAATGTTTTTATAAGGGGATAGCTGTATTAGTTAAACTTAATACTTTTATTATTAGCATGTACATCACTCAGATTAATGTAATATTTTACCTTCATGAAATATGTATACAATGTATGCAAATATGCCACTGCAATGGCAAATGATGAGTATTTTTATAACACAATTTTAGCGCTTATGTTTCGAAGAAAAGGTCCCCGCTATTATGATACTGGAGCGATGTTGTCCAAAGTCCTAGTTGACATGCAAAACCTAAATTTAGCCCATTACTCTCTACATTTGCTTATCATGACAATGTGCAGTTGTTGTATAATGGGCATTATTCTGAAAGCAAAATTTGTTTCAGTTATGCCCATTTTTAATAGACGAGCGTTAACACCACATGCGATTATCACTGTTTAAATGGTTATTTTCAAAACTGAGATGAAGCAAAAGATTTGATATTGTTGTAAGCGAGCATTATTGTACTCAACACTCACAGTGTCACCATCAAACTTTGGTTTAGATTTTGCAGGTATGCAAGTAAAATCTCTAAAACTACTGAAGGGAATGGGTTGAAACTAATCACACACTTATTTGAGAGCAAAATAGAAGGTCACTGTCCAAGGCCCATAACTCTAACATGGATTTTGACAGAATTATGGCCCTTTTGAACTTACAAAACTCTTTACTGCTGGCTCTTGTTTTGCTATCATGCGCTGAGAATTATAAGATAAATTGTGAAATGTCTGGCAAAAAGAAGTCAGTTGGGTATGTTTGTCTATATAATAACAAAAATAATGTTTCAAAGTGTAATAATTGTGGCTCCTTTGACAAAATGTGCTTTGTCATACTGTTAGTATATATTTCTGCTTGTACACCTAATTTTGAATTTGTATGTACTAGGAGTGTTATGAGATCTGTCTGCTAGTTATGTAAGATGTTTCACAAGTTCTTTCACATTTATTTATATTACATGAGAAATTTGTTAGCTAAAAACATTGGGGATGACTTTCAAAACTGCAACCAAGGGAGGTAATGCTTGTTTTGTGAAACACATCTAAATACAAACTTGATATAAGTTACCAAACACTTTTCCTTATGCAGCAAACTGAATTTCTTTTGGGTAAAAAGAAAGTGTTGCATTCTTAATTGAACCTAAGGGTCTAACCCCACAAAATGCTTAAGTAGAACGAAGATTTGGTATATTCATACATGTCATAACGTCCCGGATAAACGGGATTGTCCAGTAAATCAGGTGACTGTCAGGGAGGTGCCCTAAAGATGAATTGTCTCGGTAAGAATTAAAAATGTATAAAAATCTCCTTGGCAGGGAGAAATAATACATTTTTATGCAATCTTATGGTCAAGTATCCTAGAAATTAAAGCATGTATGATAGGTATATGTATATTGTAGTCAGCATTTGAATTAAGATGGTAATTTATTTTTTTTGCAGGTTACCACGAGAACACTTACAGAGTGCCCCACCATCCTTCAATAGACGACTTTACCAGAATGATGGTATGATACCCAAATATACAGGATATATTCCACGTAAGTTTGAACAATTTAATTTTTGTATGAAGTCCTTTTGCTCAGTAATGGAGGTTTAATTTTTACATAATACCTGTTAAATTCAGGTAGGTATTACTGCTTTTTTATGCCTAGAGAGAGCGCTGTTTAATGAAATAGTTCAATTTTATGAAATATGATAAACAAGATCAACAAGGAAAGGCGTCGTTCAATGAACGCAACCCCCATATGACCCAGCAACAAGAACCAAAGGCAAGGAGCCCGGGCGGACCCCAAACATAAACAGGACAGGGCAAAGACAGAGCACGGACAGGTTAATCATTAAATGATAAATAATTTGTAACTGATTAGGAATTCAAAGAAAAGAATAATAGGCCCACAAAGGGGAAGGGGACAGGAGACCGGGGGAAGGGGGGGGGGGTAATCAAAGAAATAAAAACTAGAGGCAATGGGGAAGATACTTACCGTAGACGAGAAAACAACAAGGGACACAAGCAAAAGTGTCACCAAAACAGTATGAAACAACATAGACATTCATCTGAGGAACACAGTGGGGCGCCGCCTTGGAACGGTCAGCAGCCTAATAATGACTGCTGGGGAGTTTAAACCGGTTAATGGTGCACCAAACCTCGCTCTTAGCCCCACCATGTTCCTATAAACGAGACGGTGTAAATAAAATGAATCCCCGCCAAATGAAATTCTAACAGTTGTCATGGTTACAAAAGGTTAAATAAGTAAAACACTAAAATGATCATGTAGAAACATATAAAAGTAAACCCAATGACCATAACAAAAGTACTCAATGTCCTAAAGGAAGACAGAGCAACAAGAAAATCACCTACAAGGGCGCGACGAAGCAAGGCAGAAGACGAACATTAAGACAATTCAGTCCCAAAGGGCTTTACGAACTATCCATCATAGAGTCTCCCACTTGGTCCGTCAGATGCAATCAAAAGAGGAAAGCGTAGTGTCCAACTGTAAAAGGGTTGAACACTAAACATGCAGTATGTCTTAAAATAGTAGGGTCATAACCTCTTTTAATAAAACGTTTAATGATTTTAGTAAAAACAGCAGAAAAATTACCATGACCCAAAATCTTACAAAGTTTGTAAATCACATCGCCATAAAAACCAGACTGGCTAATCCCTTGTCGCAGAAGAGTTTTTAAATCACTATTGAATTTAGAAATTAAATCAAAGTTACGATTGTAAAAGTTCTAAGAAAATGCTTTACATTGGTTTATTTCATACTCAAAGTTAACATTATTATCCTTGAGTGCTGAAAAAGTTAAGATCATGATTGAACGAATCTAATATAAGTTTGTTAACTAATTAAAAGAATTTCAAATATTTTGTAGACTGAAATACTTACCTTTTTTGTGCCAAATACTGATATTCATCAATGAGAAATACTAAAATTCATTAGTGAGAATACCAGTAACCAAACTTCCATGTCTCTGAAAACTAATAAAGTTTGTAATTGAGAAATACTGTATAATTCAGAAATACTAAATTTCATCAGTGAAAAATGTTAAAATTTATCAGTGAGAAATCCTAAAATTTATCAGTGAGAAATTCTAAAATTCTAAAATTCATCTGTGAGAAATACCAAAATTTATCAGTGAGAAATACTAAGATTTATCAGTGAGAAATACTAATATTTACCAGAGAAAAATTTATCAGTGAGAAATATTTAAATTTATCTGTGAGAAACATAAAAATTCATCATTTATCATTGTCATTCTTTGTAATATGTCTTAATTGTTTCTCAGAAAATCATCACTTCTAGCACTGCTTGTCCAATGGAACAAAAATTATCATATAATATCAACAACCACGTATACTTCACTATGTACCAATTTTTGTGATTTCAGAGAAGCGGTTTGTGTTTGGAAACACATATGGCGATACCACCAGGACATTAGAAGTATGCAGTCATCCAGCAGTGTCATTTGGAGCTCATATTCAGGAGAAAGAAGGAATCTAGATAATATATCTTAACACTTACATTACAAACTAGTTTTCAAAAATGAGTGTCGTGTCTAACCTAATTAGCAGTCCAGAGAATTACCCTGATCTAGAATTTCATACTATCAGCGTTTGATATATGTATGTATAAATGCATCCTGCCTAGCTTACTGAACGTCGGTGGTTCTTAACCCAGGTGACCGTCCATGCATGAAATAATGCACAGAAGGGCACCTGAGGTCTTCCTTTACCAGTAAAGCTCGAAAGTCGCCATATGACCTATACTGATGTAAAACCTAACCAAAAAATAAAATCATCTTTGCACTGTTCACAGCAGATTTTGTTGGGTAAAAGACTATACTTCATATGAGCTGAATCCCATCTGAAATAAAGCAAGGAGGATCACCTAAAGTCGTCACAAGTAAAAGCTGGACAATCGCCTGATGACTTCAATTATATGTATGGTGTGACAAAATATAAAGCAATAAGTTCAGAAGGTTTTTTTTTTCTAGAACTTTCATTTTTATGAATATAAGAAGCAGTATATGACATCAATGTCATGTTCAAGAAATTTTTTCATGTATAAGGAACTGGAACACTTACCTGAGAAATTAAAATTGGGATGTATATATTTCTGTAGTGTCTTATTAGGTTAGATTATGTCTGAACAGTGTTTCGTCATAATTAATTAGGAGTAAAAGATTGAAGGGACGTATATTTGAATGAACTCATCATGGTGTAAAGTTAAAGTGTGTATGTGTGTTTTGTATAAAAACGGTTTTGAATATGGAATTGACTGTGAATACTCTTGTATAATATATGTATTTAGAGTACTCTTATATGATGTTCACCTATGTATTGTTATACATTTGTATTTACAATACTCTTGTATAATGTGCACCTATGTGTTGTTATACATTTGTATTTAGAGTACTCTTGTATAATGTGCACATATGTGTGATTATACATTGGTATTTACAGTTCTCATGTATAATGTGCACATATGTGTTGTTATACATTGGTATTTACAGTACTCTTGTATAATGTGCACATATGTGTGATTATACATTGGTATTTACAGTTCTCATGTATAATGTGCACATATGTGTTGTTATACATTGGTATTTACAGTTCTCTTGTATAATGTGCACCTATGTGTTGTTATACATTTGAACTGAAGGTACACTTAGATTATGTGCACATATGTGTTATACAATGGTATTTACAGTGCTATGTATGATACATAAGAAAAGAGTATCAACTCACAGGAATGTATATATTTTAATTCAGTTGACAAAACTGTAACAATTATTTTTTAGTGCTGACTCTGGGTTAAAATTTTTGAGAGTCTTGAGAATCTTGTGATGTGAAAGACAAATGTCATTTAAATAAGAGTATAAAAGCTAAATATTTTTGACTGGATATATTTTAAAACCCTGCAAAATGGGTGTTGTTAAATAGAAGGTATTTATGGCTAATTTGAAGAAATGATAGTTTGAGTTGCTCAGGATACTTTTGAGTAAATGTAAATATGTGTATAAATCAAAATATTTATGTTAAATTTAATTACAGAGAGCATTATATATGTACTTACAAAAAAGCAAAGTAAATAAATAAAATTATAATTGTTACTTGAATTGGTTGCTGTGTAATTTGTAAAATAAACTTTATTTTACAAGGAAAAAAAAAAAACAATTCTGTATCCATTAACTGATTTAATTAAAGATTTGCTTTTAAATTTTATTTAGAGATTAGCATTTAAATTTTATTTAATTTTGAAAATATTTAAGCTTAAAGGCTGTTATGAACATATCTGTGATATTAGACATTATTTTACCATGGCATTTTTGAAGGGAAAACATGTATGACATCATCAATGACATCACAAATGACACCAGTGACATGATCAATGACATCACAAATTACACCAGTTTTATCATCAGTGACATCATCAAATTCCTACATGTTTGATTTTTGTTAAATATGGATATTTGTTATTGCAACTTGAAGATGAAATACTTTTGATGATAGTTTGACATCCATGAATGATTAGTTTTTATAAAGGAGATCATTTTTAAACAGATTAGGATTGAAGAAACAAGAGTCCATAAAGGTAAATGCAATGTTTGTAACTGCTTTTCCTTCAGAATTGTGATGCCTATTAAACTGTTTAAAATTTAAATTTTTATTATTAATTCTTTTAGAATAGCTCTTTTATTTATTGTACTTTAGAGAAAACTGTGTGTGTATAATGATTAGATGTATTATAAAAATTAAGGCAGGTAATAAATTGCATGGTTTTTTCCTATTTTAAGAAAAAAATAGTAGTTAAATGCATTGCTTGTCCACAAATCTGAAATATATGCTAGAAAAAATATATAAAATTATTAAATATTATACTGTAGGGTAAACATGAATGTTAAATCTACATTTTTGTAGCACGATAAAGATACTAAGCTTACTGAAGGTAATAACTGAAATTTGTCAATTGATAGTTGATAATTTCATTCATTGGTTATTTGAATTATGTTGGATTAAATTTGTAATTTGTGAATTTCTGTAGATTTACAAGTAAGTATGCTAAAAATTGGCATTTCTAAAGAATTTGCTACTTTTTGTAGATGCTACTTTTTGTAGATTTCTTTTACTTTAGATGACCACAATTAAGTAAGGTATATGAATTCATATGAAAAACAAAATCAACAAGGAAGGGCGGGGTTCAATGAAAGCAACCCCCACACGACCCAGCAACACATTACCACCAGTATGGAGCCCTGCAAAGCCATTTGTAAAAACTACTGCATTTTTTTTAACATTTAATCATTTGTTTTTATGATTTTCTTCCTTAGTTTGCTTGTAAGAAGCATATTGTACCAAAGTGCAGTAACGGGTCAACGCGTTTACTCCTAGTGAATTTTTGTAGTATTTAACCAGTTACTGCACAAAGGGGACAGTATTTCTTTTTATTTCATTAATTGTTAAAACAAGTATTTAGAATACTAAATAACGAAAACAGATACATTAAAAAGTCATTAAATTTAATCAAATTTAATTGAAAATTTAATTAAATTTAATACTTTTCTTGTATACTTTTTAATTTGTTAGTGTGAAAGAAAATCTTGCAGTTTAATAGCCATAAAAATATTTATACGCAAATTATGTGTGTTTTACAGAAGATTTTACATTGTGTTTTTTTTTTCTTTTACTCGAATTAAGTGTTAAAAGTGTATAAGTTGTTAAGAATAGTTATATTAAGAGAATGCCTTTAAAATTTTAAGGAAATTCATAGTTGCTCAATTGTGTTAGATATTTTAATTGAAATTTTGTTGTTGTTTTTTTATTATGTGATAAAATAGAAATGTGCTTGTAATATAAAAATATAAATGGTAAAACTATATACAGGTATATTAGGCAATTTTCTGAAGTCTTGCTTTCTGTTAAGGTTATATGTGACGTAAGTAGATTTTTTATTTTTAGAAAGGAAAGAAACATTGTGTAAAGTGGTTTAAACTTTCGACATTTTGTTAAAACCATTTTTTCTGAAACATGTACTTTCTGATACATAGACTATGTCATATAGAAATGGTTTCTGTTCTCAACTATACTAGGATATATTTCTTAAAATCGCATTAATTGTGAAAAAAATTATGATATCTCTTAAAATGGCATATGTTCTGAAATGAAGAAAAATCTGACTTAAAAATGGTATTTCTTGCTATATTTTCCCCAAAATTACAAAGATTGAATAATTGAAGTTGATTATCTTACAGAATATCATGAACAAAGTGTCACCTAAATTGCCTCTCTTGTAAAATATATCCAGTGTATGTTTTAAATGAATTTTCCTTAAGAAATATAAGACAGTTAAGTATTTTGAGGTAAAGACAAAGGTACTTATTTAACATATTAAGGTTTTTCGTTTCACTTTGTATTCATTGAACTAATAAATGTTATGAAAATATACTCATGAACAGTGTTTGTTTTGCTATCAAAATATTCTGGTAATGTGTTTTCAGATTTACCAGATGCATAATCTTGCTACAATATACCCATAAAATTCAGAATATACTGGTAAAGTGTTCAGGAATTTACCAGATGCAGAATTCTGCATTTATATACCCATAAAATTCAGAATATAATGGTATAGTATTAACAGATTTACCAAATGCAGAATCCTGCATTCATATACCCATAAAATTCAGAATATAATGGTATAGTATTAACGGATTTACCATATGCAGAATCCTGCATTCATATACCCATAAAATTCAGAATATAACGGTATAGTATTAACGGATTTACCATATGCAGAATCCTGCATTCATATACCCATAAAATTCAGAATATAACGGTATAGTATTAACGGATTTACCATATGCAGAATCCTGCATTCATATACCCATAAAATTCAGAATATAATGGTATAGTATTAACGGATTTACCATATGCAGAATCCTGCATTCATATACCCATAAAATTCAGAATATAACGGTATAGTATTAACGAATTTACCATATGCAGAATCCTGCATTCATATACCCATAAAATTCAGAATATAACGGTATAGTATTAACGAATTTACCATATGCAGAATCCTGTTTCCCATAAAATTCAAAATATAACGGTATAGTATTGACGAATTTACCATATGCAGAATCCTGCATTCATATACCCATAAAATTCAGAATATAAAGGTATAGTATTAATGAATTTACCATATGCAGAATCCTGCATTCATATAACCATAAAATTCAGAATATGGCGGTATAGTATTAACGAATTTACCATATGTAGAATCCTGCATTCATATACCCATAAAATTCAGAATATAACGGTATAGTATTTACGAATTTACCAGATGCAGAATCCTGCATTCATATACCCATAAAATTCAGAATATAACGGTATAGTATTAACGAATTTACCAGATGCAGAATCCTGCATTCATATTCCAATAAAATTCAGAATATAACGGTATAGTATTAACGGATTTACCAAATGTAGAATCCTGCATTCATATACCCATAAAATTCAGAATATAACGGTATAGTATTAACGGATTTACCATATGCAGAATCCTGCATTCATATACCCATAAAATTCAGAATATAACGGTATAGTATTAACGGATTTACCAGATGTAGAATCCTGCATTCATATACCCATAAAATTCAGAATATAACGGTATAGTATTAACGGATTTACCATATGCAGAATCCTGCATTCATATACCCATAAAATTCAGAATATAACGGTATAGTATTAACGGATTTACCAGATGCAGAATCCTGCATTCATATTCCAATAAAATTCAGAATATAACGGTATAGTATTAACGGATTTACCAGATGTAGAATCTTGCATTCATATACCAATAAAATTCAGAATATACCAGTATAGTATTGATAGATTGACCATAAATTTTGTAGAATCCTGCATTCATAAACCCATAAAATTCAGAATATACCAGTATAGTATTAACGGAGTTACCAGATGTAGAATCTTGCATTCATATACCAATAAAATTCAGAATATACCAGTATAGTATTGATAGATTGACCATAAATTTTGTAGAATCCTGCATTCATAAACCCATAAAATTCAGAATATACCAGTATAGTATTAACGGAGTTACCAGATGTAGAATCCTGCATTCATATTCCCATAAAATTCAGAATATAACGGTATAGTATTAACGAATTTACTATATGTAAAATCCTGCATTCATATTCCCATAAAATTCAGAATATAACGGTATAATACTAACGGATTTACCAGATGTAGAATCTTGCATTCATATTCCCATAAAATTCAGAATATACCTGTATAGTATAAACGAATTTACCAGATGTAGAATCTTGCATTGATATACCCATAAAATTCAGAATATGGCGGTATAGTATTGATAGATTGACCATAAATTATGTAGAATCCTGCATTCATAAACCCATAAAATTCAGAATATACCTGTATAGTATTAACGAATTTACCATATGCAGAATCCTGCATTCATATTCCCATAAAATTCAGAATATACTGGTAAAGTGTTCACGTATTTCGCCCATTCTCAATAAAATAAAGCATTTGAGGTTGAAAAATATTAAAAATTTGATGTTGTCATTGTGTCATTTTTTTATCGCAGAAGTAAAAGTTTAGGGTATTTTGCAAGTTTGCCTGAAATATTTCAACAAGAAACTATAATATAACAGGATGGCATTTATTTCGGTAATGACACTGTATTTCCTTGGGTATGTAGATTTCAGATCTAATAATGTAACATATTGGCTGCATATAAATAACAAATGTCTGTAAAATATATCAAATCTGTAAATTCTATATCTAGAGGGACTTTCAAACCCAGAAAAATTCAAGCAAGTTGTGTACCTTGCTAATTTTAAGTTAATTTCTTCAAAGTTAAATATTCGTAAAAAGCAAAAAGAGTCAATTTTTGCAATGATTATTTTATGTCTTCATTTAAAGGATAGCTATCATATATAATAAATGACAGGTCGAATGCATACACAAATGTTGTATTTAGCTTTTTTTTTTTCAAAACATTCAACTTTCCACTTTTTCATATATGGAAAATTTATTGCTAAGCAGTTCTATACAATGTATTTATCCCCATATAGGATGTCACGTATGTTTCATTTTATTCAAATACAAGTAAAGGTTAAGAAAACAATTTTATTCTTTGTAGAATTATTTGTATTGATGGATATTATTTTAACATTATTATATATAGAATGAAATACGGCCAGTAAGCTCTTTGCAGATCGAATCAGTTGTTGCTGTAAACTTCAATATCTTGTAATATTTTTAACATTTCTGCTGGTACATCAACATATTATTAACATATCTTTCCTGTGCAAACACATTTTTTTATCTTCTTACATCTAATACAAGGTAACTGTTACTAACAGGCATGCTAATCCCAATTTTATCGTTGATTTTCAAAAATTGTTGTATTGTAAGTTGGAGTAACGTATGTTTCATGCTGGCTAATTTATGAACTTTATCACGGAATTGAAACTTACTGTTACATGTAAAATCGACTGTTTTATTTAGGAATCAAATGTACATCATTATATTGTCAAAAAAGTCGATTTTATGTTTTTATGTGTGCATATGTAAACAATATAAAGTCTGTTTGATAAAAGTAACATTTATTTCACTGTCATGACTGTGGCTACTTAAACAAGTTAAAACTTTACCAAAGTTAACAAAATTTACTTACTAATGTCAAATTGAAGTAAGTATTGCTGTTATACGTGCTTTCTGACTTCAATTTCCCTTTTGATAAAATTACTTTTAAAAGTTGGTAACGTATGTTTCTGTAACGTATGTTTCATTTTTATATTGAAAGTGGGTTGAAAAATGATGCAAGAGCGTATAACTCGCCATAATTTGTGGTTTATATATCTGAGTTACACACATGTTAATTTTCTTTCTTGTTTGGAGTCTTCCTTGAATGGATTAGCTCTAAAACAATGGTAACGTATGTTTTTTTTTAAATGCTGTTGAAAAGATTTGAATAAAAAAATGAAAAATTCCGAAAATAGAATGATATTTGAGAGGCTGCAAGCTTATTTGTACTTAAAATAATGTACATGCTGTATTATTAAGCATGCATCGATTCAATTGTGTAATTTCTGTTTCACTTCTTATTGTTTTAAGGTTGTCTTATTTCTTTATATGCATTTGGCGAAATTTGATCATCCATTATATCAATGAGATTTTAACAGTCAAATATAATTTTTACCAATAATCAAAGTGCATATGCACGCAGCAATGACTAATTACACATGTTTCGTTTATTCTGGAACTTATTTTTCTGAAACCAAATTTCGAAGTTTAAAATTCTAGGTGGCGACAGTAACGTATGTTACATTTTAGGGCATTAATGGTACTTGTAAATGAAAAATAACAGATAGAAAAGTAAAACTGAGAGAGTCCCTATTAGACAAAGTGGTAGCCACCTTTCTAACAACATTTTGACCTCAAGAAAAAACTTCGTATAGAAGCTACCAAGTGGAACATCAAATGCTGTGTTTTATTGAGAATGAGCGATTAACCAGATGCATAATCCTGCATTCATATACCCATAAAATTCAGAATATAACGGTATAGTATTAACGGATTTACCAAATGTAGAATCCTGCATTCATATACCAATTAAATTCAGAATATAACGGTATAGTATTAACGAATTTACCAGATGCAGAATCCTGCATTCATATTCCAATAAAATTCAGAATATAACGGTATAGTATTAACGGATTTACCAAATGTAGAATCCTGCATTCATATACCAATTAAATTCAGAATATAACGGTATAGTATTAACGGATTTACCAGATGTAGAATCTTGCATTCATATACCAATAAAATTCAGAATATACCAGTATAGTATTGATAGATTGACCATAAATTTTGTAGAATCCTGCATTCATAAACCCATAAAATTCAGAATATACCAGTATAGTATTAACGGAGTTACCAGATGTAGAATCTTGCATTCATATTCCCATAAAATTCAGAATATAACGGTATAGTATTAACGAATTTACTATATGTAAAATCCTGCATTCATATTCCCATAAAATTCAGAATATAACGGTATAATACTAACGGATTTACCATATGTAGAATCTTGCATTCATATTCCCATAAAATTCAGAATATACCTGTATAGTATAAACGAATTTACCAGATGTAGAATCTTGCATTGATATACCCATAAAATTCAGAATATGGCGGTATAGTATTGATAGATTGACCATAAATTATGTAGAATCCTGCATTCATAAATCCATAAAATTCAGAATATACCTGTATAGTATTAACGAATTTACCATATGCAGAATCCTGCATTCATATTCCCATAAAATTCAGAATATACTGGTAAAGTGTTCACGTATTTCGCCCATTCTCAATAAAATAAAGCATTTGAGGTTGAAAAA